TCAGTCTAAAATACAGTTGTAATTCCCATGGGTTATTTCTTGATTTTCTCACTTCCGTCTTCCGTATACTTCATCTCCGTCTCCGGTCTCCGTGCCAGTGTCATCCGATCCGTGTTGTGTCCGCGTGGCCAATCGCTGCATCTCGCTATATCTAAAATGGATAATGACGTCCACCATGCGGATGTCGGGGTATGCGGATGTGCGGATGGACGCTAAACTTCCGTGCTTCCGCTAAAATTTTGGTGGAGGCTTCACGGAACATAAAGTGATTTCGCAATCCCCTCTCACAAACGGATCATACGAGTTCAAGCACATCATCACACTACCCTTTCTGTTTATTATCACTTGCTCGTTAATTAGTTGAAATGGAGCTGTCTGGATTCGTCGAGCGTCTGAGGAGTGGTGCTCCCGCCAAGTTCCCCAGCGACGCCAACTCTCTCGACTTTGCCCGCCATTTGGACTCGCAGGATAAGCTAAGCCATCTTCGGGATGAGTTTGTCCTGCCGACCAAGAAGTCCCTCAAGAAGAAAGCCCTCGACGGTTCAATTCGTGAGTACATTCACACTCTTATAAAGATCTAGACTAATTGTGTTAGCTGGCGCTGCCAATGGTCACAGCAACGGCCATACCAATGGCAACGGCTCAGCAGCCGATGATCAACAATGTCTCTACTTCGTCGGCAACTCTCTCGGCGCTCAACCAAAAGCAGTCCGCGAATACCTCAACGCTCAACTCGAGACATGGGCTTCCATCGGAGTAAACGGGCACTTCAGCGCTCTCGACAACTCACCCCTTCCAGCATGGCAGGACCTCGCTGAGGACTGCGCCGTCAAGTCTGCAGATCTCGTCGGTGCTTCTCCGCATGAGATTGTAATCATGAACACACTCACAGCGAACCTGCACCTCCTCATGGCGAGCTTTTATAATCCGAGTGAGAAGCGACACAAGGTTATCCTGGAGTGGAAGCCTTTTCCTAGTGATCACTATGCTATTGAGAGTCAGGTCGTTTGGCACGGCCTTGATCCTGAGAAGAGCATGGTTAAGATTCATCCTAATGAGGATCACATTATTACTACGGATTTGATTCTTTCTACTATTGATGAGCACGCTGAGGATACTGCTCTTCTCTTACTCCCTGGTATTCAGTACTACTCCGGCCAACTCTTCGACATTCCCCGCATTACAGCCTACGCGCAAGCAAAGGGCATTGTGGTCGGTTGGGATCTCGCCCACGCAGCTGGAAACGTCGAGCTCAAGCTTCACGACTGGAACGTCGACTTCGCATGCTGGTGCACGTACAAGTACATCAACGCAGGCCCTGGTTCCATCGCAGGCGCTTACGTCCACGAGCGCCACGGAAAGGTCGAGCTCAACGACGCCACCGGCAAAGCTACATACCGCCCCCGTCTCATGGGCTGGTACGGCGGCGACAAGAGCGTGCGCTTCAACATGGACAACAACTTCATCCCCACCTCCGGCGCAGGCGGCTTCCAGCTCTCCAACCCCTCCGCCATCGACCTCGCCAGTCTCTCCGGCGCGCTATCCGTGTTTAACAAGACAACCATGCATGATCTGCGCTCTAAAGCTCTGGTGCTTACAGCGTACGCGGAGTACTTGCTCGATCAGATCTTGGCTGAGAGCTCAGACGCTGAGCTGTTCCGTATCATCACACCGCGGGATCCGCTGCAGAGGGGCACGCAGCTTAGTGTGTTGTTGAAGGATGGGTTCTTGGATAATGTTAGTGCGGCGTTGGAGGAGAATGCGGTGATTTGTGATAAGAGGAAGCCGGGTGTTATTCGTGTGGCGCCTGTGCCGCTGTACACGAGGTTTGAGGATGTTTGGAAGTTTATGCAGATTTTGAGGACGGCTTTGCCTTAGATAAAAGATAGATAATGATTGTTAATGAAGCATGATTTTTGGTTATGTTTTGGGAGTCTAGTGATGTCTATTCAGGGGTTTGGATGCGCCAGTTAATGTGCGCAATCATCCTTTGCTGGAAGTTCTCCTCATATCTCAGCTTCTTGATTCACTTTCTCATCCGCAGACTGTACATCATTGAAATTGTATGATGGCGTTTTCCAGGCATCGAGCCATGTGATCTATCGCATATCATCGTCTCTCGGCTAGACATGGCATTCCATACCCGAAGACCAGCCATCTTCTTATCTTACATCACGACGCGCAATCCTCGTCGGATCTGATATCAGGAACATATCCGACTATCTGACACCTCCGAACTTCCGCACTAACCGATTCGTCGTTGACGTTTCACAGATGATGCGTAAGATCAATACCACCGCCCGCATCCAACAGCGCAAACAAGTTCAGAGCCGACCCCGAGTCAGCTTCATTGCCCAGCGGTCCGCCCCAGTAGCTTGGATCGGGTGTCTGCATCATACTCTCACCTAGTCCCAGGAACGCTGAGTCCAAGTCGCCGAATAATGGCGATCCGACATTCTGTAACCCGTTATGCTGTAGGAATGTCCTGTCTAGTGATTCGCGACCTCTAGAGGATGGTGTCGCTATTGATTGGCCTGTGAAGGTGGGTGATGAGTCCATTGTATCGGATGGTATAAGTCCAAAGAGTTGGCTTGAGTTTTCGGTTCGTCGTTGACGTTCGGCGAGTTCGCGCTTTTCGAGGTACTCAAGGGCCGTTGTAAGAAGGGATTGGGCGATGAGGGAGTATTGGCCCGCGTGGGTATCGTGTTTGGAGCAGTGATCCAAAGCGTGGATGGCCATGCGTGTGTATTTCTCGAGGACGCGGCCGAAACCACCAAGGAGGCCGACCCCAAGAACAAGAGAGCTAGCAAATAGCCATGATCTGTAGCAGTTAGAACCAATGATCGCAAGTTGTATGTTAACGGAGACTTACACAAGAATGGGGACATGTCCAACAAGAATCCCCTTCTGAATGAGATCCAGTATCGGATCAACCATCAAACTCGCCGCGTCAATACAAGCATCTGCCAACTTCGACTTCCCACTCGTCAAAGCAGATCGTCCATTCGAGTTCACCGAACCATCCGATAGTCGTCGACAAAGCTCATACATGAGAAATGGTCTCGACACTAGCATGACAGCGTAATAATACGTCGCCAATATCTGACACGCACCACTCGCCTGCGCTTTGTCCTGAGCCTCCGGGTTGGCCACTATATCCTTGAGTTGCTTCAACCACCGCGAAGACCAATCTCGTAGTTGGAGTGATATCCCCTCTGTAAGTTGCAGCGACACTTTTCGTCGCGAGTAAATCTCGGTTACTACACCCTCGAGGACCAAGAATATCTGCACCGACGCATTGAGTAAATCCACCGGTTCTTCAACGTTCTCATCAGGACTTTGATACGGAACCGTGCAGTCGACGTCCGACGTAGCAGGCGGTCTACCCATGGATGAACTCAGAAACAGATCAACGACACGAATACTCTTCCAAAGACGATCACGCTGTCTGTGGATATCAGGACCAAAACGCGCGTTGACTTCTGTTCTGTGGATCCCAATCGAGTAAGCTGCGCGTACCGCTGTTCCGAAGAAGAGAAAAGCCCCGTTGATTTGGCATGCGCACAGCATGTAGAGTGTAATAAGGGTAAACATTTGAACCGTTGAGACGCTGAGATTGCCGGTGAGGTTGGAGTACGCTTTATCGCGCGCATACTCAAAGTAATCCTGCGATCGCTCCTCATCATTAATTTTCATCCCGATGGCGAGTACGAGGAAATTGACAATCGTTGTAGCGTCGTCTTGCTTCGGGTCCATGTTCGCCCAGAGGATGAGATCATCTTGAAGGCGTCGATTGTCGAAGAGATCCACGAGGCCGGTGGCGATGGATAAGTAATTCGATACTGCGAGGGGGATGTCGTCTGGATGAACGATTGGTATGCGGTTATCACCCGGTATCCGTCTCGACTGATGCGCCGTTGCGTTTTCAAGAACTGAATATCGACTTGACTGGGGCGCAAAAGCATTCTGTCCAACACGCGTGGTAACGAGTTGTCTCACGCTCTGAAAGAACGAAAGAGGCGCACAATCACCGACGAATATCAACTTTCCCTGCGCATCGCAAACCAACCTCGCCTCCCTCGGGACCTCCGTCTCATCCTCCGCATCAATCTGTCCCCCATTATCCCTATCAATCTGCCCTCCAATCTCCCTCACAGGTTCAGCAGCAGCAGCAGGTGTAGAAGGCGTAGTATGTCTCGTCGACTGCGCCCTCTCCGAAGTCTGCGGCGATCGCACAGAATGCGCTTTACGTCGCCGCTGGGGAGAGTAGTGGCAGTCGTGCGGCTTCTGGCGACGCGTGCAGTAGCTACATGGTAATTTGCCGTCGCACTTGACTTTACGGGATTTGCAGCCGTCGCAGGCGTTGGCGATGCGGCTGCGGATGTAGCGCTCTGGTTCTGAGGGTTGCATGCTCTGTTGATCGGTGAATTGTCTTTTTCGGTGTGCGGAAGCCGGATGTGCGAGAGGTGAGGGAGGGCGGAAAGACGCGGATGTTCGGACTTGGGGGAAATTGTTAGTGCGGGCCGGCTTGAGATTATGGGTCTTGGCTTGAGAGTGAGGATGGGGAATTATAAAACTCTCCTCTTATCGCTGAATAAATATTATAAGTTGAGTTATTGTTAAGGCTGTTGGAGACGTCTTGCATCCGAAGGTTTGATGAGGTGGTGTTCGGTATAAGTGATAAACCAATCGCATGTGCATCTTGTGCATGTTCACATCCGACAACGACGGCACAGCGGCTATGTTCAGCGGATCAGCACTACCGTCCACTGGAACGGCCTCTCACTCAAGTGTCCAGCCTCAACTCAACTTCACTCATTAGTAAACAACAACATATCAATATTCTCTCATTCAATTCATCTAAAATCAGTTGCTTTTCAATTTTTAAGTTCCTTGCTCAAGGTTTTTGGGAAGTCCCCATTCGCAATCGCGCATTGAAGTCTGTCCCAATCTCATCTGTCCCTTCCAAGACCGCACCCGGCTTACTTCACTGAGCCAACCTAAGCAGCGCTTATCTTCTGCTTCTTCGCGCCACTCTCAGCATCATCGTCAGCCTTGCGCTTCACGCCAGTCTCATCAGCCTGCTCTGGCTCCTCATCTCCATCCATCTCAGCATCAACGCCGGTGTCTTGTTCTTCAACCTGACTCTCCACGTCATCAGGCCAAGCGCTAACCTCACCCCGAGCTCTGGCCTCGACACCAAGAAGCAACTGATCATTCCGTTCATGATAACCCTCGTCTCCATATCCGTACCCATATTCCAGCTGGTGGTTTATGAAACCCATTGCATGCTCGAATGCCGAAAGACAGTTTTCCCTCAACCTTTCTGGCGTGTAGCTCAGTTTGACCTCAAGCCTATCAGTCCCCTTTTTGCCGACGTCAGCGTCAATCACCTTGAGGAAACGATAGCACCCTGCGACGAGGATCTCTTCACTACATGCCCAGAACTCCTTGTCCTGGGGGAAGTTGAGAATCAGCTTGGCTGCAATGGAGAAGACATGACCGAGGCGAGGGACTATATCATCGGAATATGATATGAGGGACCCGTCGTAGTTTCGCCCTCCCATGTCGTGCATGACTACCCAAGAATAGCGGTTGAACTCCTGGTGCCACGCAGTTTTGATCATCTCAAAGATACAAACCTCACGGACTGCACCTGTCATCCATTCAGGCAGGTTGATGTCCCTGGACAGCTGCATTGCCCATTTGGTGCAGCAAATCCTCTCGACTTCATCATGGTGACTCCAGCGAAGCTTGAGCATGTGAACCATTGCTGGTTCCCTGCGGTTCAGTCTGTTCTTGACCATGTGGTTTATAGTCTGAAGAAGGCGTTCTGGCTCAAGCGGCCAATCCAGAATCAGAGCTTTGCAGCAGCACTTTTGCATATCCGCATGCATCACCTTGGCGTAGACATTGGCCACGAAGATCTCCAGGCCAGACTGAGGGCTGTTCCATTCTCGGATGATACGATCAGTCTCAGCCGGCCCATCCGAAGTGCGGACAGTGCCGACATCGAATCCAGCCGTGACGAACAGGCCAACAAGAACGCTATGGGATGTCAGTCAATCTGCTACGCGATGCCGAGCAAGCCTGCTGGGATGGGAGTGATGGTGTGCAACTTACCACTGGATCCACGAGTCTTCGACATACACAATAAGTCGCTCCTTGTTGTCCTTGCAGTACTTGATAGCCAAATCTAGAGCTCTCGTCATGATGGGACTTTGGTAGACAAGCCAGCCGATGGCGATATCCCTGCTGCCCAGCGCTTTGACACTCCTATCCAGTTGGTTCTGCATGTAGAACAGATCAACACCACAGCTTTCATCATCGCAGACAGTGTCGTACAAATTCACCGTTGTGATCACGTCGGGGTTGGTATCGTCCTCAATCTGCGACCTTGGAACGTTCGGATCGCTGAGTCTCTCGATGACACTCTTTGCATTGCTGGGAGTCCCGGGGAAGAAAGGCGTGCTAGATTTCAGACCGGAGTTATTGCGCCAATCGAAGCAGGCCAAGAGTGCCTTGCGGTGTTCTAGCATCTCTTTATCTGTCTGGTTGTACAGCTGTCCCGAAACTTTGGGTTTGATCTCTGCAACAAGACAAGCAGTGGGGTTTTCATCGCGGAAGTCGTATTCTTCAATGATAATAGTAGGTGAGATATCACCAGTACCTGGCCTCGCTAAATCCACAGCGGGTTAGCAACATGTCAAGCGAAAGCAAGCACACAATTCCAAGCAAGAGTGTTTGAATCAGCCACTGGAATGTGATCATACAAGAAGCACACTTACAGTCTACCAACAAGGCGGCAATACCGGGCCCTTCGAGGGAGAAGGCGACTCGCGTTTCGGTCTCACGAGATCTCGCGAAGAGCTTGTCGAAGTCCGGCTGGGCATGAAGTTCCTTGGCGCAAGCGACTTCAGCCTTGAGCTCCCATTCAAGAAGTGGATGCATTTCAGGTTTACGCAGCTTTCTCTGGCGCTCGGCGACACTTCGTCTTGGGCGCGTGGTTGTCGCAGACTCTATGAACATTGTGTTGATCTTGATCGTGTTGAGCCCTCTGATCGGCTGCGGTTCATCGAGAGCTTCAGGTGCATCCGCATCCGCCAAAGTCGCCGGCTGGTCAGGTTGGGGTTTAGCCATAAGGTTGGCAGGCTCCTCATTTGACAGTGGCGCAGGAGCAACTTCAAATTGGTCTTGATTCATTGTTGGGGAGGCGGGACAGTGATAACCTGGAAACTCGGCATTAGATGAACTTTGAGGGGCAGTCCTAGTAATCCATTTCGAAGCACTTCGTCGTTTGAGCAAGTAGTAGAACAACAAAACCGCGCGGTGGAGGTCTTCCATAGAGAAGGGTCCAGCGACAGCGGGTGTTGTCCCACCTCCAATCGTTTCAGGGGTTGGAAATCGATGAGCGTAGGCCCCTTGATCTCTGGTGTAGACACGACCGGAGTCCCAATCCTGAGGGGCGAAAAGAAGTATCTGAACAGCATGTGCTAGGATAAACGCGCAAGGCGAGATCTTGCCCGGCTCGCCAGGCGTAGAAACGGTTTGGTTGAGCACTGGGATGAAGGTGGGCTTCGTGCAAAGCTTTGCGACATCATTGATGAACCGCCGAACCTTTCCATCGCTATGGAAAGCCCTCAAAACTTTCATTGGGTCCATAACATCAATGTCCATCATGCGATTTTCGTATCGAAGCTGCCTTTGGTAGTCGCGAAATTGTGTGTTGAGCGGTTCAATGAGATTCTGAAAGTCTCGGTCGGCTTGACTCGCTTCACGCTTGGTCTTCTAAACCTGCGAGGAACTTCCAACGTCGTTTCTGTTGAAGTAGGATTGAGGCACCAGGAAGTAGTTCTGCGTAACAAAGGCAGCTTGGTAAACAATGTCTGGAACTGCAGAAGAACAATGAGCATGAGGTGATGATAAAGAGGTGCAAGCTTACCAATGACATCAACATAAGAGCTGAGGTCCCTGATGGTCTTGAAGGCGCAGTACTGAGCGAGTTGATTGGGATCCTTCATTTCAACAGTCCACACCTTGTTGCTCAAGATACCCATCTTCCTCTGAACCTCAAGATTAGGATCGCTCAGATCATGGACACCGGCTTGTGCGTGTTTAGTATGAGAATAGTCGCAGTATTTCTCAATCCATCTTGGAAAGGAGATTCTGCGGTCATTCACATGCTCCTTGTTTTCGTTAAAAAGGCGCATCACGCTGATGAAATGATCATCGCCATCGGAGGAACAAGAGTTGCTCAGCCCTCTAGCCATTTCGTAAGAGGAAGCGAGTCCGGCACTAAGAATTGCTATAGGCTGGAGGCAAGAGAATGGTGTCAAACTAGGATAATCCCGACCACCTCTGCTTGAATCTTCGAGAAAAGGCGGAAGTAGAAAGGACGGAAAGAGTGGGATAACGATTCCGCAAGTCTGCTTGGAATGGCTCGATCTGGAAGATGAAATCTCCCAAGCGATTACATCGGCGGTCAGGGCCGTTGCAGCAAACGATTCCAAGCAGGTCTTGTTGAAAAGGGGCGGTTGCTCACAATTCCGAACAGGCGTGCGTGAACTACGACCCCAGCGGCACAAGATAAAGGAAGGATAGAGGAAGAAGAAAGGGAAGGGAAGTCAGACCGAGGAGAAGGGATTATATACCCAGCTGTGGTCACGTGAAAGCATACCTTGGGTGCTTGTTCTTAGAAAGTGAGGGTATCACGTTTCGTCGATGGTGCGGAAAGGCTCAACACCTCTGGTGTTAAGGTAAGCTATGCAGACTTGTGGCTTGAATTTAGCCCGAGACGCACCCAGAATTAACTTAACCATCGTAAGATAATTTCTAATAGGCCTTTTGTATTTCTCGAACCATTCATTGTTCTTCGACCTCGAAGGACCGTCCTCGTGTTACTGGATCCAGTCCTGCACGTAAGTACTGATGATGGATTGCCTGACAGCAACGCGTACCACCAAGAAACATAAGAAGCTTTAAAGAGGAAGTCGGGACTCAGGCGATGAATGAAAGCTATATAGCATTGTAATAGCAAAGAGGCTTGCTGTGACCATCAGCGGCAGAAGATTATGAGCGGCGCAGCGATGACTTCCTCACAAACTGCCGCACTTGGTTCAAGAGAAACGTTGATGCGAGTGGCATTTTCTTGATGAGTAACAGACTTGAAGACGAGGTCCTTCACAATGCCGTTGCGTGCTTTGTAGTTTCGAAGCCGGCGATTATGCGAATCATGTGATACGCAGGTAGCGAAGGACTTTGCCCGCGCCATATTTGAAGTCTGGACGCTTCCGACTGAAAGATAAAGCCTTGTCATATTGTGGAGTATTCCTGAATTGACTTCTATCCTATATTGAGTACTCTATCACCTTGGATCGAAGATCGTTCTGGGAAAGGTCCCTGGATCTGGTGGGCTAGCTGTATCTCGCGTCACCCACGATGTCTTTTCTAGACTAGAATGCTCATGACTTGTATACTTTGACGCAACTAAACATCGAGGAGCTTGAACCGACTTCTCATGCCAAGGTCTGCTCCTGCCACTACCATGTCGGCTCCGAGGCTATTCTGGCGAATGTAGAATGGGTTCTGAAGAAGAAAAGAAGGAGCTAAATCATTTCACAAAGGCCGCATCACAAGTCAGCTGGCAATCGCCGAATTAGGAAGACGCAGACAATGGAGACGGATATGATATGACACTTCACGTGCCACCGAACTTGTTCTTTGGACTCTTCCAGACTCTAATCTTGGGGGAGTGGTGTTGAGATACCCCGCAGTTCTCCGCGTTCGTCTCCTGATATGAGCACTCGGCTGACAACTGTTCGCATTTCCCGTTATAGCCGTTACTCTGGGGTAAGTCCCCGACCAGACTTGTCAATCGCGATGTAAATTACCCATTTCTCTCCATGATCATCAAAACTAAAGAGACTCGAGCTATTGGGAGTATACAATCTTCACACTATCACACAAGCCAAACAAATCAAGCTTACGCAATTTCCAGCCCGTGCAACGTTTGCTGGATTTTGGGTCACATTCCTCCTCGGCTTCACCCTCTGTTCACGCACCCGGCATCCTCCGGATAATGTTGGGTGACATTCGCAGAACTTTAGTAAGCCAAAACGTAAACCTGCATTGATCGTGTGATCTGGTACTCTTCTTGTATTAGCCAAAAGTCTACGGGATCGATGGACAGCGAGGCGCGTAGGTGGCTCCATAAATCGACGTAACAGCTTGTAATTGCGCATAAGTATCGAGTGATGCCCGGCAATCTCTCGGGAACTGGATTTCTTTTATTCTCTGCACGTCACCACATATACTCAGTGCTACATATTACCTCTTGAACAGAATCTCCAATTTGTGACTGCAATCAAAGAAACTTCTCATCCAACACTTCCTCATATTCATCGCCAAACCATTGTATAACCTCCAAGCTCAAGATACACCCCAGAATCAACCATGGCATGGGACTTGGAGATCGGAACACCTTGCTGGGTCGCAACAGGTGACGTCGAGATGCACAGACAGAGCGTCACGCCCCGTCGAGCTACCCCCAAGTACTTCCAAATCCCTGACAAGATCGACATGCCTGGAGCAATATACGAAGACCTCCTTGAGGACGTTCGAGAAGGTCTAGAGGAGATCTTTGATCACCCAGGCTCCCGTGCACCATTCATACCCGGATACCAAGATCGTGCTGATGCGATCGCTCGTGCGAAGCTGTTGCGCGAGCACGGCCAGGAATGCCCGAATGTCATGATGGTCCATCTGAGGCCACCATCGGGAGTCATCTCTCATAGAGAGCTAAATGTCTATGCGCGCAAGGTTGCTTACAATGGAGAGGGACTGAGGGTGGCGAAGAAGAAGGTTTATGTGATCTGTGAACCCTTTACCAAGAGAAACATTGATCGAGTCGAACCAGTCCAGTTTGAGTGATGAGGGCAACAAGTCGGAAACTTGGTGTAGCATGGACGAAACAGACACTTATTTGGTTGATTTATGTTGCCAACAGGGTAATCTTTCACAGATTCTGCCGATAGGGCTTTGTCACTTTGTTAAGATTGATCACATCAGGTCATTGTAATACACATGAGATTAAGGGCGATTAACATTATGCACGACTATGAATCTATCATACGATGTTGTTGATACCGTGCTAAACCCTTCTGATTTTCACCCACAGCAGACCTCGATTTCACTCAAAACATTGTGTCTGCGTCCGATGGAATCCCCATGTTCTGGACTTATTCCCCGGCGGCCCATCACAGTCCGATGTCCAAAGTAGTCGTCCAAGGAGGTGATTTACTGGGGGAAAAGCTCTTGAGCCTTTGACAAGAGAATTTCCTTAGCCTGCACAGAACCGGTTAGACAAGTCGCTTTGATAGACTCCTCGATCTGGGCGAAGTCGACATTTCCATGGGACTGGATCCAGTCTTGAACGCTCGGGAAGATCTGGGCGGCGTCGAAATTGTGCCCAATGCCTTCAAAGACCAAGGGGGCATTAGCCGGATGGACGATAATACGTTCCTCACCCAAGTCATCATCTTGATTGGGATCATAGATCAGCCATACAGGATGCCCAGGCGTGATGGCATCAACGACCAGGACATAGCCAGTCTCATCCGTATCTAAACTACCAGTTTCTGTTGTGTATCCTTTGCACAAGCGTCCGACAGGCAATACGACAGAAGGAAGATGTTGACCGGCTGGTGAAGATTCGCGTGCTTGTTCATCCGTTGGAGCAGGTTGAGCTTTGGACCTGCGGAAGAATTCAAGAGTCAAAAGCCCTTCAAGAAGACTGTGGCGATCAACGCCTGGCGCTTCCTCAACACTCATAGCCCCAGGATCTCGCGAAACAGTAAAGGCGTCTTTACCAGTGCACAGAATGAATTTCCCGACGGTATACTCGAGCAAATCGAGAATGTTGACAACAGAGGCAGGGTCTGCAAAGTTCAGCTTAGTGAGCGCCTCCAGCCATTCCTTTGGTGTCTGACGCTCATCAGTGACATTGCAGTCGTTGGTGGAGTTAGCCAAAGATTCCATTCTCTCTAGCCACTTGGTATGGCAATCGCCCAAATCGGTGTTGTCGTCCTCCATGGTATCGGTGGTCGCTTGCGGTCGGGCTTGGTAGAAGAGCCTCGATAGCTTGGATAGCAACGGTATCTGTGGTTACCTGGGACACGGTATGTGAGTAAGTAGTGTTCCTCGGTATATCACGGCCTTTATGGATGTTCGCACCGAGATTGCGGTGAGCGCCTGATCGAGTGCTCAAAGTTGTTTGTCGATTTGGATCGGCGGTATGGACCGAATGTGAGATCGCTGGGTTGATCTTCGTAGTATTTGAGGTAGGAAAAGGCTGAGTTGTCTTCGATAGAGATCAAGGACTGATATGGTAGAAGTGAAGAAATGTCTTGATGATGAGAAAAGGATGAAGAAGGAAGAAAGTGAAAACAGAGAGGACGGGGAGCATTTATTATCTGGTTTGGCGCTAGTGAGCTGTTCCGAGTCACTGCCAGTGGCTCCAATGTTGTGCTGCCAGTGTCAAAGTATTCTCTGTCATCTACAGACGAAAGTGGGCAAAGGGCAAGCACTGATACTGAGTCATTCCCCTATGATTGTTCCTTTATGCACTGTGTACCGATGGTCACTTGTGGCCTGGCAGATCATGTATATGATTTCGAAGCAAAATGAAGAATATTTAGATACACACCAGATGATGTACCAAACCATGTAGTCGTTTCATATCACTAGTACAGAGACCCTCTTTTAAGGCAAGGCATCGATGCAAGTATTGACCGCAAGATTAAATCCCAAACAACTGCAATAAGGTTGAGAGGTCAAAGGAGGCAACCACAAGGGTGATGCTTGTGCAAGGATGACGGCCACGGCATAAAGCCTCTGCAGAAGCTGAACTGCGTGGCGTTCCGGTAAGTCTACGCGCCACCAATATTCGCTGAACATCACTAACTATGATTTCGCGATTCTGCCGCACTTGATACCACCTTTTCCAGTAGTAGACGTCCGGTCAAGTCTCTCATGCTTGTTTGTATGGTGATGTTTTTATGAAGACGCCGCCGCAGAGATTTCCTTCCCCTCCCTTTCACAGCTGGCTCAGGTCATGGCGTTTTGTTGTCTGTATATTACGCTCCTTCGAATTCCAGCGATATTTGCACGCTACCGTGTCGCGAACGTTTCGTATCCACCATCAGTTGGCATCCATAGCTCAGCGTACAGCGTCCATGTTCCGCGATGTCCTATAAAGAAGTCGGACAGAGGATGCTGAACAGCAGGTTCGTCAGCAGAACACCAATCAAACGAACATCGAAGTTGCGAAGGATGACAAAAGAAACAAGAGCAAGTCACTTCACCGAATGGAATGGTGTTCGGTACCAAATTCTTGCTTGATCAGGCACGCCGTATCAGCTCAGACAGCCACATCCCACTGGCAGTCGGCATCGATTGTGCCCAGAACCAGGACGATCTTACCAGCTTGAGCCAATTCGAGTGCCACTTTCGATAGCCTTGGGCAGGAGACATCTTCCATCAAGAGACCCTCTATTAGCTATCATGCGCTATCACCATCTAGAACACCCAATGGCGCCGATTCCCCCTCAAATGCACAGAGCCTGGTTGCTACCCGAAGACAGACAGGCACGAGAAGGAGGCTCAAAAGGACAACATTCCCGCTGTTGCACGGAAGCAACTCTCCACGTTACCAAACCTCCCAAGTCCATTTGACCACCGCCGAGAACCCCAAAGATGACTTTTGCCGAAGATTCGCACACCAAACAACCGTTCTTGACGACAAGCTTTACATCGACGGCGGCTAGGTCAACTTTGATGACTTCCAGCATACACACGAGAACTACCCCAGTATGTCAGCCCCGAGGTTTGCAGACAAGCTTTTTTGGTCACTGACCGCACTCCAGATACCTGGCTCGCGTACCACGACCTCAACAACCTCGCCGAACGCGGCGGCGATCTTTGGTCAGACCTAAATATCAGCCTAAGCAAAAACGACAGGTACAGCGACCCTTCCTCTTCTTGTTACTCCTCCTCCAGATATGCTAACCCCGGTACAAAAGTATCCCGAGCGTACACGGCGGCATCCTCTGGGGCGACAGCGTCAACAAGCGATTCTACCTCTTCGGCGGCGAATGGAACAACGGTTTCTCACAAGGGACTTATAGCCTTCTGAGCTACGATATCATCTACGACAAATGGGATCACTTCGGAACGCCCGATATAACCCCGCTGCCGAAGATTGCCTCGTACGGCGCTGGTGTCGGTATCTCGGAGACTGGCATGGGCTACTACCTCGGAGGATGGATAAGCAACGCCTCGATGAGTGGATGGACTGGCGACCGAACGATGAGCTCCAACTTCTACACGAACTCGTACGACTCGGGAAAGTTGAGGCAGGTCGCTAGTCTCAGCTGAAGGCGGCATGGTTTGGATACCTGCCGGAGACTCTCTCGGCCTACTTGTGTATCTGGGAGGTATTGTTGACCCCTATGGTAACAACACAGAAGCTCCCCAGCCACTCGATGAAGTCTTTGTCTTTGATGCAAAGGGAAACTCTTGGTCGACTCAGAAAACTGCCGGAGAGTTAGCGCAGAGCAGGCGTCAATTCTGCGTCGATGTGGCATGGGCACCAGACAAGTCTTCCTTCAACAGGTAAGTCAGCCGCATTCTTTATTTCCATCATCGGGTCCATATGCTCACGTCGTCAAAGATACCTCTGGGGAGGATTGAGTGTTCAGCCACCCGTCGTCAACGCAACATCATTCAACGACATCTACATCCTGACCCTCCCATCGTTCATCTCGGTGAAAGCTTACCCCGACCATCACGGAAACACCACGCTCCCACCAGAGTACGACCACTACAACGCATCATACAACATGGTCAAACACATGTCGCAACTCTTTGTCATCAGAGGCACCTACAGCGACACAGACGCTTGCGATCTAGCGTACGATGCTTGGTCAATGCACAATTTCTGGACCGGAACGAACGAACAACAACGTTGGGAACAACAAGACTTACTGGGCTATCTATAACCCCAACATCACCGAGAACGTCGAGCCCGTCGATGTGTACAACGTCCCTGGTGGAAACAAGAACGGCGGTGCGAAATTGGTGGCGGCCAAGGATGGATTTGATGAGGGAAACAAGCCGCTTCAAGACTTGCTGGGACGCAGACCAGAAATAGCAGAGCGTTCACCAACACGAACGATCCCCTCCGCGACAAGCACATCAACAGCGTCGCCAAAGTCAACCCAGATGAACAGCCCTGATTCGAAGCTATCTACTGGAGCTATTGTTGGTATTGCAATCGGTGGTGCTGCAGGACTAGCTATTATTCTACTCGCATGGTTCTGTATTAGCAAGAAAGTCAACCGCCGTCGTGAAGAGAGACATCGATCCTCAATGACACAGAACCAGTATCCGGTCAACGGGGGTAACTTGATACATCCTCCCAGCACGGTCAGTCCGCTGACATCAATAGGGTATTGGGGCCATACATCCGAGCCCGTGAGCCCGCACCACATGAGTCCTCACCAGTTCATCTCCATTTCACAAGTACCTCCGACAGAGCTTCCTGCAGAACAACACGGAAATGGCGGCAACGGCGTGAACGAGCTCCCAGAGTATGAGGTTGGCAGAAAGACAACTGTATCGCCTGGCGTGTCTTCTCCGAGTTGGTCTCCTGGTCCTCCTTCAAGCTATACACCGGAGAGAGACAACCAGTGGTGTTTTCAGAGGTAGCTTTGCAAGATACTTGGCAACTGGCTCAGAGGTTCCCTGCCATGACCATGTCATGAAGTGTCATAATATAATATTGCATTGTCAATAGTAACAGCTACTCCATTAGATTGAGCCAGAAAGGTATGTTCTAGCCTTTGATTGCCCCGAACCTTCTTCCGCTCAAACACCAATACGTATATTATTCTCTATATTCATAGACGTCTGATCCGTCTAGTCAATACTTGTGGAAGAACTCCGCTCTTAGCACAAGAGGCATTAGTAAGAAGAACCGATCCTCGGGAAGCTTGAATTGCAAGGAAACTCTACGGGCTAGAGACTGAAAAAAAAAAAAAAGGATCACGGCGGTACAAGAGTTGGGTTCAGTCTAGCAACTGCAGGATACAACTTTGGGGTGAAGATGAATTTGGTGCTGACAAGGAATGTGGCTCAGGGGAATGGAGATCAGAGAGCGAGTAAACTTTGCAGGCGACAAGGGGTCTACCAATTACATCTGTCAACCCCCTCTAGGACAAGAGTTGGCATTGACTGCTCCACGAGCTAGCTGTGACTATAATAATACTAGTGGCGGATTCGTCTAGAGTTTAACTGTTGTCGTTACAGTGAACAGAAAGCATGGGGGTGTCTTTTCAGCCCTGGATATTTTTCATATATAAATTAGTTCACGTTCAGAAGCAAAGATAACTGAAAGACAACTTGGGAAAGTCGTTCGAACTCAAACGCTTATTCCATGATGTACCACATAGACTAGTATATGCCCAGCTTCAAACGGCGACGAAGTTTCAAACCTCGTAAAGGCCCCTGGCAGTGGCTCCTTAAGTTAGATCTAGTTGCGTTCGACTTGCTGACTTGGCTTGCTCGTCAATTATCATGCGACCACGAGACGGTTACACTTCGTCGGGCTCAGGGACCACACCCCCTTAGAGACCCCAGGGTAATGCATATTCAGTTCATGCTGGCAGCGATACATGCCAGTGGAGTGCCTAGCCATCATGATCCAAAGAATTTTGGCTTTCGGTGTTCAGGAAAATGGGAAGTCTGTAAGATGCACTGCTGAGAGGCAAGGGCCTGACTCATAGGAACACATCAACTGCCACACAAAGCGATATACCACCAGCTGATCTAAGCCCTGAGACACTGGGGTTATCGGTTAGTGAACACTGGCCACTGAATTTTGAACCCCGACACCGTGAACAACAACTGGCTGCATGTAGTTTAAGTACCACTGTCCGACTCTCTGTTGCCTTTCTTCAACTCCGTGCCGTCTCTCTCTTCTTCCTTCCCTGCCCTCTCAACCCAGTCACCTATCCATACTCTTCACCGTGCAACCATCAACCCTTTCCTGCCTATCTCATCTCCACCACTCCTAATCCTCTTTGTGTGAACCACTTTACTCGTTCGGCAACACATCTTGCAGCTTCGGAGCAGCTTCGCTTAACATTTGACTCAACTAGTGACCCTTATCGAGTCCTCCACCCCAAGGACAAAGACAAATCACCATCTCAGAGGTATCTAAGCATCACAAAGTCTTACCAGCAACCGGTACGAGACTTCATGAAAACTGGAAGACGCGGAGAGATCAAAGCTAACGACTAGAGGACACTCCAGTCTTAGCATTTCCGTCACAAATACCAAAACCCATAAACCTTCGCACGCCAATATCGACAGAATTACGCCACAAGAAACCGGATTCGACAACTTCGGTACTCAGGAGCACGGGCTAGCTGAAATGTCCGACACTGCCGACTACTCTATCGTGCATCCTGAAACCTGTGACAACATCGCCTACTTTGATTCTAATACCGGTTGGAATCTGCCAAAAGGGCTTCGTGTCAGAAACAATTTTGATCGCTCAGCATTTTCGCAGTACAAAGTCTCCACCAAGCTGGAAACCAAATACCCAGCGAGGCTGACTTCATCTCTTATGCCAACAATGTCGTCGCAGATATCGTGGGACCTGCCATCGACCTGTTTGTATCAGACAACTTTGTGTAAAAGATTCGGGAGTACGATGGCAGTTCCTTTGCCCGGGGGACAACTGGCAGCAATGAAGAACTGAACGACCATCTTTCAAAGCTTGACAAGTTGCACTGGTATAGCAATTCATTCCAATGTGCAAGAGCACTATGCCCAGGAGACGTTTTGCTTTTTTACATGGAGAACGAGAAGCGGCGCGATTGGTGGGATAATTTCGCTACCCTAATCACCGAACCGAAGCTGCTTCCGTCCATTGGAGCAGGCTTCCATGAACGGACGGAAATATTCATCCTTGCTCATGCTTTTCAAATCCTACTATTTGCCCCTATACAGCGGCCTCAGGGTGCAAGATACAATTGCACGGACTCCTATCCTCGTCGGTTTCCGCTTGGATACCCCGAGCCAGGCCCGGATGATGTGAAAGTCTGTGGCAAGTATAGTCTTGATGATCTATACCGAGCTATACTTCTCATGTTTTTCCTTATTCAGCAGCGGCCTTGGAAAGAAGACTCTTATGTCTACCGAACCTCTGAGGTATGGTTAGGATACACTACAGTCCGTTGCCACTATCCCTGGCATGAATCCACCAACCATTCAGCAGTACAAGTCTTTGCATTTCAGAAGCTCCCTCGAGAAATACAACTCCTTATCATCGAACTTGCAACTTCACCCAAAGTCACCCCGACAGTCGAAGCGGAGACCGGACAGCAGCGACTGTTCAGAAAGATCCAGTGTACATCTGAAGACTCACTTCTAGCTCTCAAACTGACGTCTCGTGGTATGTATCAGCTGGTAAAGACTGCGAATTCAGTTGAAGCTATTCCCAACTGGCATGGCTCTCATCAAAGCACACCTGTTCTTTTCCGCATCAACTTACAAACCGACATACTCCGGATATTCCGCCTCTCGGACAAACTTCCGAACTTTATGGATAAGAATGGTCTTCGCGCGCCGCTCCCTGTGCGTAGACTGCTGGCTATCGAGTCCGATAATCATCTGTCGACTCGTCACGGAATCCTTGAGCTTTTCTATATCTATAGCGTTTCTTGCTCTCCAGGTTTGATGCTCGACGAACTTCCAGCGCTGGAGGAGTATTCTCTTATACTTCCAGCAGAAAAGCAGAGCTTGAGGATGGATGGACTTCCGCGAATTAGACCGCAAGACAATAGCGAGGTTATAGCGCATATTGGCACCAAGTGGCAATTCAACCTTTACCGTTACTACAGCATGGAATCACTCGATAACGAAGTACCAGAAGGATGCCCGATGGGCGTTCCACCAAACCTTTGCGACAACAGCCACCTCGATGGTACTGACCCTTCCGACCGTCCTGGGAGCATCCCGTATATTGGCAAGTATGGATATGAGCGAAGCCACGGCATAGTCGGCGGGCTATGGGCTGGATTCAAATACTATCAAGAAAGCAAGGAAGCCTACTTTGCGCCCCTCTCATGGACCGAGGTTGAGCCCCTGGTTATGGGTGACTATGGAGAGAATGGGACTAGAGCCCTGTTTCACAACCACACCCCACAGTTTGTGTCCAAGGTCTGGATTATACGCCAGGGTACAGCGGCTCCTAAGGGGTGGATCAAGGTACAGGATGCAGGCGAATCGAACCCCACCTGGAGACACGATCTATTGAAGACATGGAACGCTGTGCGCTATACGTTAGAACGCATTCAGGGCTCGGGTTCGCACAGCACTTACACTCTCTTTCAGAGATAGATACTGTCCCGGAAGCTTAGACACGCATTACGGAATCAAGGCCTTCCATTTCCTGCGTTTTCGTCTTAAATGGAATGGCTGTCTGCAGAGCTGATGGAATGAGAATCTGGGTGTCACGTCATTCGTGAGTAGGTATATGGTTTGATAGGTGATATGTCCAGGACATACCTAATTGACGGCGGTCTGAACACTTCATAGTATCATTGTAGGTATGAATAAAAAGAAGAAAAATGAAAATCGTTGTTTTTTCTCTAATAGTCGAGTTTTGCAACTTAACAAGAGCATAATGATGGCGAGAACACTTGATATTCAAGTATGTTCAAGGGAAGCATTTCAACTCATACTGGGAATTAGATGTAGCTCAGTAGATATGCAAAGATCGGTTCATCTCGCGCCAATTGAAGACCATCTACATTGTTTCCACTACATGTGCTGTGGAGGTGAAGATTTAGCAAGTCTGTGCTTCCAAGACAGTACTCTCTTTGCGTTCGTTCCGAAGCCTGTTGTCCGACGTCATGAACCATCAGAACAACGCCGTCACTTTATTCTTCCCTATATACTATTGTCAACTAGCTACAGTTCGAAGCGGTTCATTCAGTATCAGCCTCTAATGAGGTTGGGAGGTTGTTACATATAGCAAATCCCTCCACTGGCCTCTTCCTCCATGTACCATGTTGGTGGGTACTGACTAGGCATAGTCTATGTCAGCCCCAGTGGCACTGCAGTCCATTGGATTGTCTTCGTCCGAAATCTCTCCTCGAATCCTTTCGAGACAACGCTGCCGTGCGCGAATGGCTCACGACGTTGGCTACTCTTCTTACCGAACCGAAGCTTATCCCGACCTATGGCCCGATCCGTCCTTGGAGTGTCTCCGCTTTTGAGGACGAATTTTGCCACGAGTTATTCGTACTTGCTCATGCTGTGCAAATCATGCTCTTTGCTCCAGTCTATTGGCATGAGGATGGATCCTACAAGTCTACTGACCCATATGCCCGACGCTTCCCTCTCAAGTTTCCCCCACCAAACTCGAACGATGAGAAAGCCTTTGGTGAATATACTCTTGATGACTTGTATCGGGCCCTCATTCTTCAGGAATTCCTTTTTCTTCAGACATGGAATAAGGGGGTAGAGCGCCGATGCAACAATCTCCGTCGTACAATTCCTCCCAAAGCTGATGCTCCGTGGTTGGAGTACTCCATAGGCCGGTCCGAGCCCCCTTGGGTTGAAGATAGCAGAGTTTCAGCAGCTGACCGCTCTTTGATTATGAGACTCCCACGAGAAATACAACTCCGGATCGTTGAGCTAGCAATCCCGCAGAAAGTTACACCTACCCTACTTAACCGACCTAAAGGGCGACGAGGATATTCAAGAGTGCATTCGACATGGGAGGACTCCATGCTGGCGCTTAAGTTATCATCCAGAATCATGCACAAGTTAGCCATTGCTGAGCAAAACGTCCAAGGAGTTGTCGATGAGCGGGTTGCATTTCGCATGAACCTAGACATTGACACGCTGCGAGTCTTCGACATGAATCTCCCAGACTTTCTCACTACAAATGGTCCATCTGCGCTCCCCGTACGAAAACTACTCTCGATTTCGAAAATATCCTGCGAGGATTGTGGCACTTATTGTGATCCTATGTGGTATCGCAAAAGCCCTGTCGGAGAAGCCCTAGATCTTGAGAAGCTCCCAAAGCTAGATGAGTTCTCCCTCATATTCCCTAGCGTTTCTCAAGATTGGTCGATAGAGGGTCTTCCACGTGTTAGAGACCAGGCTGACATCTCAGGTGCAGCTCATACGGGCATCAAATGGCAATTCAACACTGGTCTGTACCCAGTACCTCGTTGGGAAATATACCATGACGACCACTTCAACGGCTCGTATAAAGCACACATGCACCCAGATGATCCCGTTCCTGAAGAAGCCATACCATACGTAGGAAAATGGGGATACGAGCGCGGTTCCGAGGCTGTTGGGGGCTATTGGGCCAGTTTCCAGTACTTTGAAGAGACCAGAGACGTATATTTCGCTCCTCTTTCATTGAAAGAAGTTGAGCCCCTAGTCAAGGGTCCCTATGGAGGAAATGCACGTGAAGCCATTTATGAAGACCATACGCCAAGGTTTGTGGCAAAGCTACGAATTATCCGACAGGGAACGACTCCCCCTACTGGATGGATCAAAGTGGAACTAGTACACCTGGAGGATCCCAACTGGAAACGCCAACTGTTAAACACATGGAAGAGTGTGTGGTACACTTTGAACGGACGCAGGTCTCGTGACTACGATGACCTACCTGAGCCTTGCCACTACTATCTCCGTCAGACATAAGGGAATCATGCGGAAAGGGAGAATGGGGTCTTATGAAGGATGAGACGCCTATCTTTCTTTTGCACGTAGCTTGTATGAACTGTTTGTTATCGATTTCATCGGGAGGCTTGGGCTGGATGAGGACCTGGGGCTTATAATCCCGGAACAGATACTTGCCCTGGCTATGTACAAGTATTTTGCGAGTCTGAAATCCCCAGAAAGTTAAATATAAAAAAGAGTATCATTATTTTACTATCTTCTTGTGAATGCTGTTGAATTATTACGAAATACTGTCGTAATGCTCAAGTTGGGGAGATTAACATGGCTGAAGACGTGCTAAAGTCAAGATTGCTTATAGGAACACCGAAAAGAAAGACTATATCGAGGAGTATTGGTTCATGTTATATAATACATCCATGTCAGAAGATCATCAACTGGCACCTTTCAGTCCGCTGCAGGGTTCTCGAAATCTTCAGTCAATATTCCGAAGTCAAAGGTTCAGTGGAAACCACAAGGCACTATTTGGAGGCTCATCCGCTTAGCAAAGGCCAGCCTTTGTAGGCTCACAAGCTCCGTTGCCCTTATCGCAACCATTGTAGCCCTGACATTGGACTTTGGGGTAGCAGTTGTTGGAGTAGGTGGCCTGTGATATATTAGTTTTGTAGTCACTTGTAGGTCCTGGTCATACCTTGTCACCCAGGTTGGTGTTGATGCCCATCAACTCCCCACCGTTAACAGCAGTGGTACCCTCCATATGCACTGACCGCCGGCAGTTACCCTTGCAGTTGCCGCAAGACCTGTATACCTTGCCGTAATCGTTGGCATAGAAGTTGATGATGTTTACGTGGCCACAGCCGTTATGCTGGATGATCTTATCAGCTGCTTTGTAGGCACCACCGCCGATAATATTGGCGGTGCCGCCGCCCTTGATTGAGATGGCATCCTCGCAGACGTCCTCGAACCAAACGAATTCGAGAGTGCACGATCCAAGGCAGTACACGCCTTCACGTTGATTGGCGCCAATAATGACGTTCCTAAGCTTCGCTCCATCTTCAAGGACGAAGACAGTGTCCTTCTCACCTGAATAATGTAGTTAGCAATGGCCGAGGGATCACGAACGCTATTGCGACTTGCCTCCTTCGGCCTGGCCTGTACACTTCACGCCACGATCATACTTGACCCAGCCAGCATCAAAAGTCTGGCCTTTCTTAATATACTGAGGAGAGCCGAGAGTCTTGGTACCCGTGTGCTTGGGAAGACCGCCAGTATAGCCCTTACAGGCTAGAACTGACGGCAGGACTGTAAGAAGAGAAATTGCGCTGGGGAAATGCATGATGAATGTTGTTGAAGTTGCTTTATTGCTGTAAACATTGAATCGATGTCAACAAGTCAGAGTACGGGTTTTTATACTTTCCACCAGGCTCTCTTAAGATGTGCTTCTAGATGTTCCATGATGCCAAGTGTAAAGGCATGCATTATTCCCTGTAATGCCTAGCATTACATGCGGGGGCGCTATCCAGGTGGTATCCAGGCGATCACCGCCATTAATTCCTCCAGTCATATCAGATGTTGACGGACAAGGGTGATGTTACCAAGAACAGAATGTGTCAGTATCCAGCAGCTATTGGTGGAAGTCAGTCCTCGCTGGAAGTCGCTACTATCAAGCTTGTCTTTATGCTTGAAAAGGCTCCGAGGCTCCGGAAGCTCCGAATGCTGCATTAGGCAGGTCTCTGTAGGCGAGTGCGGTCCAGAAGGATTTTGGGCTGCGACATGGGTGATGGATGAGGACATCATAGGCAGGCATCATCTAATTTGAAGGTTCCTATTCAACAATTAAATGTTGTCTGAATATGACAGGCGCGCTTACCTGCGGCAAATGGAGTGTGGTAGAAAGACTGTACATACAAAAATGAGCCTCCTTTCCAGCAAGCGGTCGAATCAGCAGCCGCTCTCCGTGACCTTACTTCAATGGTGAAGCCAAAATACGAAAATAACATGTACTGCAACTCCTCTAGGTAAGCAGAGTTGGGGTTATCAAGCTCTAACTTGGTCAAATGAACGAAAGGTAGTTGTCGCGGAACAGTGGTGGGCGGTCTTGCGGCAAGGCGATTCCACTTTAAGCCACTGTTTCCATCTTCCGCTGATTACCTGTATCATATTTGTAAGCGGGCTACCTCGAACATTTTCTGTGGGCTGTTACTGCTTCAGAAACATTTATCTCCGGGTCATTAAGTCCAAGATTGGAACAGTCCCGAAAGGACTTTGTTCCTCTGTAGATGGGCATGTCTGTTCAGTCTTTGAAACGGGCAGGAAAATAGCATGATTGAGGCTTGAGAAACTTGAGACGTTCTGATCTGAGCATCGGACTACGATGGTACCAGAGACGACTTAGCTCAATGGGCTCCCAGGCACTTTATCCTGCCTCCCCTCCAACTAACCCCCTGAATCTTCTATTCGGCGTTTGGAGCTTCAAGAATAGCGAGACGGGACTTCTTGCACTCTTCAGGGAACAAAGTTGCGGCTTTGTATTGCCTGGTGCTTATACGTGACTCCTCCCAGCTCAAGTCTACGCATAACGAGTCGAAGCATGATCTTTCACTTCTCGTCAATGAGTCAGAGGGGTGTGCCTTGAGATGTCTGTGCCTGAGGCCCACACATCCCTTCTGTATGTTGCCTGCCCACTTGGGACCCCTAGCTACCTAGCTTCTTCCCTGGTACACACAACAGACCTCATATTCACAACAAACTGTGGCCTTTAGCGCCCTGCTAGCGAATTTTGACTTTCAACCTCCCTTACAAGAGCAGTCCAGGCGGGCCCAAGTCGCGCTCTTTGACATTTTGAACATTGTTTTGTTCGTATTCCTTTTCTATGGTCCAAATTCTCTGTGCTGATTTAAGCTCCCAGTCGCAAGTCTCACTGCGAAAACACGTCCGGCTCAAAACGTCAATAGCCGCTAACGAGATCTCCGATCAACGCTTTGCGGAGATCATACAGGTTGTTGGTCGGTCTACAGATCGTAAGAAGCCCCCTCTTGATACTCGGCCGCAGGTCCTGTCTACAAATATGGCCACCAGGGTCTCCAGGCAACTACACCGAGAGGCTAGAAAAAGAATCCAGCAAGGACAACAGCCTAATTCCCTTTTTGAAAAGGGCATCGGATATAGATATCGAATCCCTGCTCCAGTTGCCAACAGAATGGCTTCAGAAGCTTTCTGCCGTAAATTTCGCAGATCCCGTCGATATCAGCAACCTGAGCTATGCCTTGACTTCAGATGACGTGGATGACTTTGATCTTGTCACTATCAACGGAGTTTCCTTTACAGTCTCAGCATTTCCTGGAGCTTTGAGCTTACATCCTGAACAAACCCAAAAATCTAGCGCTCACTCAGGCCTCGTATCTCTTAGCGTTGAGCCCATTTCTCATATCACTTCTTGCCTGGAGCAGGACCAATCCCAACCCCTGCCTTCTCTGGTGCTGCCCATCGGACAACTGCAAAAGAGATTCGTGGAGGTGAGTGGTATTCCTGATCTAATCGATACTGATTACTTCCTGGTTGTCGATGCTGCAGGAACTTCACATGCGGTTTGGCTAATCTATGATCGATATCAACGATTTGACAAGGAGTTCAAGGATGTCGCTGACCCGAAGATCACTCCTCTGGTCTTCGTGGAGCTAGGAAAGAACTTTGATGCTGCTCAAGTTTTCCCGAGCGTCAAGGATTGGCTTGAAGCCTATGGGAAGGTCAGTGAGGCCAAGTTTCAGGAGTCAATCATGAAGACAGGGATGGTAGGAGAAGTCAGGGTCAGGATCGCAAGTCGAGAGGATGTCGCTGCTCTGGAGACCAAATAGGCTGTATCTTTGGCAGTGAACTTTTCTTCCAGGACATCGCAGAGTTTAGGTTCAGATAAGTGTTGATCAGGGACTGATGGACGGTCGGTTGAGGGGCAAAGCCTTGTAATGCATTCATAGTTAGGGACAGATTGATCCAAGCGTGTTCTCTTCCTGATCAAATCTTCAACCGGATTTCCAGGACCCAAATTTAGGCTCAACTTGGACGAACACGCTTAGGAGGGTGCCAATTTAGTTGTCCACCACTGGACGTTCGTGATCGCAAAGTGAGCATTTGGGACTTCGTGACTCTAAACCGTACCACAGTGTCACCGTTGGACCTTGGCTTGGTTACATCCCAAGCAGGACCTCTCTCTTAAAATCCTCTGGCTTTCTGTATCTTTGCTTGGTCCTTCAGAACTCCGGAGAAGCGAGGTGAATGCTTTGTGTGACCGCGTGCCCGCTCGTAGCTCCACTAGGAGCCAGGTCGAAAAGAGATGATGCACTGCCAACGCACTTTCAAATCTCAACCCTCTCCTTCTCAACTGCATGCTTCCCATATCCCCCAGCGGAGACCCTGAGAACACTTTTGCCACCAAGTTTTGTTTCAGCCACTGTCCGTCCTACGCTCATGTTACATCGCCAATCCAGCCAAGCCGACCTGTGACCTAATCGACTTTCCAACGTCTCTCCTTCTTCTTCTTCTTCAACTACTGAAAATCAAGTGTTGCGTTGATCGAGATTTTAGACATTCTAAGGATGCCAGAATGACTGCCGATGACAGCGACGAGGAGATTCATGTCCTTATCGAGGACCCTGACCTTTCTGCTGGATACCCCAGATATGTCCCTGATGACCCTTTGGAGATCGGTAAGTCTCCGTCAACATTCTGCAACAGGCCCATTCGCTGATGTTTTCATTTAGCCCGCCGTGCCGCCTACTTGGAGATGCTGAAGAAAGAAACTGGAGAAGACAGAAGCCTGCTAGACATGATAGCGCCGCGTCAGACACCAAAGGAGTGGCTTCAGAGTCTCACCATGGTTGACTTTGCAGACCCTTCCGCTGTCGTTAGCCTTCTCCTGGACTTGGCTACCAACAACGTCCCGCACTTCGATCTGGTTACCAACAGTGAGCCAGCCTTTACCGTGACATCGCTCCCTGGAGTTATGACCGTGGAGGATACACCACCTAGTAAACCGACAGTTTTCTCTTCCTGTTCCCAGCGCTCATCCGGGACTGCTGTGTCTTGAGTTTACCAGTCAGTCCAGTATCTTTGCTGCTTTGGACGAAGGCGAGACTCCCAAACCGTCAGCAGCTTGTATACCCCTCCCTTCTGTCGTCCTGCCGATCGGGCAGTTACAGAAACGATACAAGAACACGGGGGGCATCCCATACTCCGTCGATACTGAATATGTCCTGGTCGTCGATGCTATCGCGGATAAGAACCCTCTCTGGCTGATTTTCGATCGACGTATCAGAAGTCACGAGGAAGATGGGGCCTACGTCAAACCACACATGGTTCCGCTTGTATTCAGCAGGACAGAAAGGAATTTTGATGCAGCCCAAGTGTTGCCAAGCGTCCAAGACTGGATCAAATCTTATGGCACCCTCGATCTCGCGCAAATTCGGGATTCTTTTCAACAAACAGGGATGACAGGAGAAATCAGGGCTAGAAACGTAACTTCCGCGGATCTTCCTGCGTCCTGGCGCTGAGTCACTTCTGTCGAAGAGCACAAATAGATCCGCAGCCTCAGGTGCTGGTGTACTTATGTTCACTTCCGGTATTAGCACACAGGTACCTAAGAAGAAGTTCCTTGAATGAGTGTGTCAGTAACTAGTGAAGCAATCCACCTCATTCACATGAACCACTGCGCTTGATTTCTCTGTGATACAAGCAAAAATAAATGGATAAAGAATACGTAGTATGACTAACTAACAATAAAAGATAGACTGATAATGCAAAGCTCTTGAGAGTCCAAGCTCCCTTGCTGACATTTCCTTCTTAATTTTCATGTCTGATACACTTGGCGTGCCCCCGGCTCTCCGAAGCTCGGCAAAAGAAGTGAGCTTAGGTCTCTGCACAGGTAAGGCCAAGGTTTACTTTATGTGACTCGACCCTCTCCTTTTCCTTGAGGTTATCGGGAACTTCGTATCTGAAGAGTGCCTAACAGCGGGTACAACGAGCCTTGGGCTCGAAAGAGGGGCAATCAAAGGGTGTTGCGACGTCGTGCAGATGGGAGAAATAACCCGGTGGGTTTTCAATAAGACTTACGAGCGGTTCCATCCTCTGACTATTCTCTTCCATGCGCTTGCGCCGGCCCTCAAGAGTTTCACTCCATTCTTTAATCAATCTGGCATCCTTTTCTCCTCCAGGAACTGCCTTAGTTATGGCCTTACGACGGCTATGGCGTAGCTTTAAGACAAAGTTATTGAGGTTCCAGAAAAAAGGCCAATGGTCTGCCGAAGTAGAAATGATGTATACTGGATCGCTGTTCGGCATGGCACCTATGCAAAGAAAGGTGGTTTTAGGCAGGCCAGCACTGAGACCTCGGGACTTGGCTATGTTGAGATTCCGGTATTCTTCGCAGAGTTGCTCTGGTGGTATATCTAATTAGTTATCTGTGGATCTCACCAAGTTTGTCCTTAACTCACCAAGGCTATCCCATTTCTTACGGGCTGTTACAACTCTCATAAGCAGCTCAATTGGAACAATTGGTGTAATCTTGACTGGTTTCCTATGTCCTGAGACAAGGATACTCTGCAGAATGTCCAGCATCTGCCCAAAGTGACCCGGTTTCATAGTGTTCAGCGCTGTGTGAGCGTTCTCAATAGCTTCAAGCAGATTCACCATCTCCTCCGCGTACCTATTGAAGGTTCGCTTATATGTATGGGTCTCCGCCTTGCGTCTCAGAGCTGTTAGAATGCCATACAATGGCCCGCACAGTAGGAACGAAACAATGGTGATGAGATCGCGTGCATCGTCAATTGTTTCGTCATCCATATTGATGTAAAGGTCTACCTGAGTTTTCAGATCATACATCATCAAGGTAAGGGTCGTGGCCCCTTCTATACATGTAGACAACGCATTTCGTGTCACGTCTTTGTCTGCAGACCACCATAAGCTCAGAAGGGTCTCAGAAGCTGGTCTTGTGCTTTCGCGGTAGACTGGCATGTCTGCACAGATTTTCGAGGGGAAACAAAAAGAGTACTTGACAGGCAGAAAGGTTTGAAGGTCTGGTTTTGGGGTCTGGATGGTACAGAAAGGCGGAGGCCGTTGACCTGTTAAATAATAAGAGGGAAACCACGGCTCGGCAGTCGATTAGGTTCCCCAGCACTTCAAAGCCGACGAAATTACACTTCTTGGCCTCGCATTGGTGATTCGGAATGTTGTCACTCGCAATACGGAACTGCTGTGTCGCCAGGGACATCTTGGCTCTGTTCATACCCAAGAAAGCCACCCATTTCGATTCTATTTGACGCCCCTCGGCCCTCACGTTCGCTTATTCGGTCAGTATGTCATTCGGAACAACCTGAACAGCGAGGCCATCTCTTGTGCCACCACATGCTTCTTTGTGATCTAGATGTGTTATTTGCTGCTGAGACTTGTGGCTGAGAGCTTACTCCAGCAGACAGAACTTAGTGGCTACATTCAGGGCAGGTCGATAATGGGTTGGGGCAGTGCTCGTCACATAACACCGCTTGCTTGTCCAACGCACGAGCCATTTCAAGTCGCCGGCCCGGTCATGGTCTCGAAAAGCAATGCTTGTTCTTCGACCATCCCACCATCTCGGACCTGCAAGCTTTCGTCACATCGCTGATCGAGGCCAACGCAATCGTGATTCATCCATGTACTTGGTGGGCTGAGCGAACTCGCCCTGCACTATTCGCTCTAGCCAACCAGAGCCATTTTTGAGTTGTAGCACAGATCGAAAGTCGATGCCCGGCCAAGTTTGCCTGGTCAAATGATTACCCACCCAATTTTCCAACACCCACCTTGCCTTTCTCATCTTCTCATCAACAACATCTTGCGCTGTCAAGCATTCCCTTCGACAAAACCTTAGACATCCTTCTGCTAGAACCTGTTCGCGATGGATGACAAAAAGACTCCTGAAGAACTTCCTGGGGATACTGGAAGCGCTTTTGAACAGCTGTCTGATGGTGAGAACTTTCTTCTCATCACTCTGCCGCAAGTACAGGTTGCTAATTTTGTAGTCGAAGATATCCCTTCCGTCTTTCTGGCCAGGCTGAAAGCAATGCTTAGGCCAGACAACCGTAAACCCATGGGCCTGCTTCAGCACCTGCAGCAGGACCCCGTCTCGGAACTTATGTCCCAACGCCAGACACCAAGAGAGTGGCTCGAGAAGCTCACTGGAGTCGACTTTACAGACCCTGCCTCTATCCTTGACCTTGGACTCGAGTTGGCCGGATACAAAATAGTTGGGGAATTCGCTCTATGCACTGATGGTAAAGATACCTTTACTGTTTCGCCAAATCCTGGAGCTATGAGTGTGGACTATACGCCAGTCCTGGAGGACTCTGATGCCCACCCAGGTCTACTCTCTCTCGAATTCGTCAACGGCTCCGATAAGCAAGACAAGACTGCCAAGTCATCAGGAGTCAACCAACCCCTTCCTTCTCTGGTAATGCCTATCGGCCAGATATCTAAACGATATACAACAGAAAGTGGCCTTCCACTCTCGGATGAGACTAACTACGTCCTTGTTGTCGATGCAGTCGCATCTGCGCATCCTGTCTGGTTGATTTTTGATCGAATGCTTATGTCCGAATCCGACCAGGATGACGAGTACTACAGGGACAACAAAGGTGGTGAGGAGAAGGAGGGCATCCATCCCGACACAGTTGATTTGTTGTTCAATGGGTCAGAGAAGAACTTTGATGCTGCCCAAGTGTTGCCCAGCATTCAAGATTGGTTCCAGCTCTACGATAAACTCAGTTTCACTCAGATTCGGGACTCATTTCGAAAGACAGGGTTGACAGGAAAGGTCAAGGCGAGGGTCGTGACAGCGGAGGATGCCAGCGTGCTCTGGAACAAAGATCCCTCTGTTGATAAGAGCAAATAGACTGCACTTCTAGTGGTCAAGTGTTCACTACAGGGCACCAGAGAGCTACGGGGACAAGGACATGTTGGTGCTGCCTTCGGAATTGCGTGGTCGACGGCTTTTGCCGCAATTCCATAGTTAGGGATAAATTGATCTAAACGTGTTCTCTTTGACAAACTCAGAGCTTCTATGTGCGTCTTCTCAGCTGTTCCCCTCTCATTTCGTTCCATTATCCACAAGACTGCACTCCTTGAACATGTGAACATCCATGCACCACCATTCAGTTTCGCATTTCTCCCCGCTGAAACAAACGTCAGCATGAGAGAAGCCATCGGAAACAAATAGCGGGGTAAGATCCGGGGAACTGACAGTGCAACGATATCGCTACCCTCCATACCGAAACCAGATTTTGTGCCACTGACACCGAAACAAGCAACGCGCAGCTTGATCGACCGCCACTGTTGATTCACCGACCGTACACTCTGTGTGACACCGGCAAACCGTCCTCAAGACCCAATACATCGAGGGCGTGGCCCAAAGTCTCCCCGATCCTCAAACTCACCAACTTCCACACACCCACCTTTCCATCATCATCAACATACCAGACAATACTGTCACATTCACCGAGTCCCTCCAGCCAGATGTCTATCCAACCAGGTCCCAAGATGGACGCCACTGAGCTTTCCGACGATCGCGTTGCGGAGATTCAGAAAGCAGTCGGTAATCCTTCTACGAGTAAGCCCTTCCTTTCAAGTACACTTCCCGAACTGCATTTAGCTGACCATTTTACTTCAGTGTCACCAGACGAGTACTCGGCGAAGTTGAGACATGTAACTGGCAGTGACGAGATCCTGTTACAGTTTTTGGAAAAGGCATGCAAGGTGGATAGAGAAATGGCACCCTATCCGGCCGAAGAATGGCTCAAGCGGCTTAGTGCAATGGACTTTGGAGATGTCGCCGCTATTTCTAAGCATCATTTTGCCTTGACACTCTATAGAGTGCGTCGGTTTGACCTTGGCACCGATGGCGAGAGCACGTTTGCAGTCGAAACAGATCCTGAGGCTCTTTTGACGCAAAAAGCGACGCTCCCACCACTATCACCCTCCGCAGACATTGAGTCTGGCGACTATAATGCCCATCCTTCCTTGATCTCTCTGCAGAAGGGTGAGGATCCTGAGCCTTCCAAGACCGGCCCAGTCACAGCTTCCAGTCAACCACTTCCTTCTCTAGTCATGCCCATCGGACAGCTGCAGAAGAAGTCTAAGGAAGAGGACGATGATGCTTACGTCGATACTGACTATTTCCTCGCCATTGACGCCACCAAGACTAACCATCCTGTCTGGCTGATCTATGACCGAAACCCGCGCGATTATTTCGGTGATCGAGAACTCGTCGACCCTGACAAGCGACGCCTGGTCTTCAAGGAACTTGGAAAGAACTTTGATGCTATGATGGTTCTTCCAAGTCTCCAATGGTGGATCATGTACTACGGAAGGCTCGACTTCGCTCACATGCTGAAGATCATGCGGGCAACAGGCATCACAGGCCCAATCCAGGCTAAGGGGCTTGCCCTTTCGGAGGCTAAAAAGATCCTCAGCAAGTAGATGTCTTGCATTTGTGTTTCTGTGTACATGAGAGAGGGGTCGGGTCTAGCTACGGGGACAAGGGCATGTCGATCCCGGCTGGAGTGTTATGGTTGGCGTAACATTTTGCCGCATTTCCGTAGGCAGAGATACATTGAGCTAAACATGACCCCTTTAATGAATCCATGGCATTTAACACGCCGCATTCTTTACGTAGCAAAAGGTTTCTTCGTTTTGTTGCTTTCAGAGTGAACACCGATGAACTGCACGTTTCTTCTACTTAGTGCCCGGGCCTCCACTCCCCTCCACTTCCACGACTTGCTGGACTTGCGTTCAGTATCGGAACTTTTGGAAAGCTAGGGCGGGGTATCTTTGTGTCACAGTGATAACCTGAATCTCGACTCTGACTTTTCTTGGCGCCACGAATCTCACAACCCCCTTGGACATCTGGGCGGTGGCAGTGCCGCACAACTTGTGAAAGTCGAGGTGGACCATCTTTATGTTGCAGTAACTCAAATTTGCACGGTTCTCAGGCGGCTGAAACCCATCACTTACCTCGATCTCCGGATTGGAATCTTTGTGGAAGCGAAGTGAGGCCCCCCGTGTCACCACCTTCTCATTCATATTCTCACCCGGGACAGATCGATGACGAGCTGAAGCAATCTTCATCACACCGTACCTTATCTAGCATTTCGAATTACACCCCGCCCCGAACACATCTTGTGCAGTGGCAGTCACTCTCCCCCGTCTCCCACCTACATCTCGCACCAACGCGTCTCCAAGCGCATATTCCACTACTGGCACTCAAATCCGCTTTCAGACACCCACCTAACCACTCTCTCCTCTCGACCCTAGTTGTTGTCAGAAGCATCTCAGAGAATACTCTTGAAATTACCCAAGTCATTCTATCGAACCCAGGCGGAGAAAATGGCTACTCCATCAATTTCCGACGAGCGATTTGCGGAGATCAAAGATGCTCTTGGTGATCCTTTTGCCGGTAGGACCCCCCTCTTGACAGACTTTCTGATGTGTCATAAGGCTGACCGCATCTATCCAGTACCTCCAAGCGTTCTTATGCGGAACCTCGAGATCGAAACAAACAAAGACAAGAGTCTAACAAAGTTCTTGGAGAGGGCATCCTTGGGGGACGGAGAATCCCCTCATCTTTCACCAAAGGAATGGCTTGAGCAGCTTACTATGGTCGACTTCTCAGATCATGACGCCATTTCTCATCACCGATTCGGCTTGGTCACTGATCTCCTGGGACGATTCGATCTTGTCACCGATGATAACATGGATACCTTTGCTGTTGCACCATATCCTGGATCACTGTCCACGGAGGAGCTGCCGGGCTCTCGACGCCTGACCCGATCTCAGGCCATGCTTCAGAACTTGAATCCCCATCCTTCACTAGTTTCACTTCAGATCGGTGATCCGCCCTCGAGTTATTCTCTCTTCGGTACTCCAACGATTGTCAAACCATCAGTTTCCGTTCAACCCCTTCCGTCTCTCGTATTGCCTGTCGGGCAGTTGCAAAAGAAACCCAATGCAAATGAAAGGAAGGTCTTCCTTGACACTGACTATGTCCTTGTCATTGATGCTGTCACGGCTGAACACCCTGTATGGCTGGTTTATGATCGAAACCCGCTGGATGACCTGGGTGAACGAGAAGAAGTTGATCCAGATCAGCAACCTCTTGTTTTTACAGGAGTTGGAAAGAACTTTGATGCCATCCAAATCTTCCCAAGCATCCAAGCTTGGATTGATTCCTATGAGAACCCTGACCCCAAGGCCTTTCAGGACGCCATCAAGAAAACAGGGATCATAGCACCAGTGAAAGCTGCCGAGCTGAGTCTTTCGGACGCTGCCAAGCTTTTCCTCAAGTAGATGCTATCTACATTTGTGTTCTTGTTCTTGTGTACAGAAGGGAGGGGCGAGCAGGAAGATGATGGATCAGGCCTTGAAGCATGAAGTCTTGGCGGAATTGTATCGCGAAACACCCTCCTTACGAGACAGAATCATCTCCCCTCGGTTTTACGGCACAGGTTTAGTGTTCATGTACCTTGTTCTAGCTAGTCCTTGCAATCACAGTTGGTGCAGCAGCCCATTGCACCTCTGCGCGAGTCTACCAAGTGAAAATGTCGCCGAATCACCTCGCAACGGAAACTTCGAGGGCGCAGACAGACATTCATTCGCGCGCGGGCTGGGGAAACGCAGACAGTGCCATTGCTGATCGTTATCGAGTGTGATAGAACAGTGGGATGAATGACTAGGGTATCGGAAATAATTGAGGAGGGTTGGTCATTAGAAGTCCTGTATTGGTCGCTGATAAGGTGATGAGCGTGCTTCACATCGATCGTGATTGGATACTGGGCGTAAAAGCTTTTGACTCGCGTTTCACCAAAGGCTGCTTACGGGCATTTTCAGTGAATACTGCAGCATCGATTGTCGTGGCACCATTTGTGATTGCGCTGGATCAGGCTCAGGTGATGGTGATAAGAACACTTGGTGTTTGAGGTGGGTAGCACAGCGTCAAAAGAAGAGGAGGTGGCGTCGGCTTTACCTCCGTCAATAGCCGCTGCAATAACCGCAGTATTAGACGTCGCAATTTGTAATCTAGATCCTGGGTAGTGTCTTGACAAAGATCTTTGCCCCAGTGGTGCTCGGCGACAGTGTCTCTGGTCCAGTATCAAGGTCAAGGACAAAAGGCTCTATATCACGGTCTACCTCACACTGCTAATTTGTCGCATAATCGGCCTCCACTACACTAGAACAGAAATAAACTTCTCTTCATCTGCAGGAACGTTTTCATCTCAGATTAGATCTGAGTTCGGCGACATGATGAAGGTTGCAGTGGCCTGGGTCTACGCGGCGCAACTGACGATCGTGGGGCAGACAGCCTTCAATCTGAGTTCTTACAGGCACTTGGCGTTGTTTTCCCGTTGGGGAAATCTCCCGAGACTACAAGATCTTACCCCAATCGGAGTTGATTCACAAAAAGGTCCTGGTGCATTTGGGCTGAAACTGAGCACTGTCTCCAGCCTTTACTTGTCGCGGTGGCTTGGATGGAGGCTGCCCTCGCTGTATGCACAGCTTCCTTTTTAGCTGGCCGATCTACATCATTGCCGTCATCGACTTTCTCACCAGCATTTGAGTCTCTAGTCAGGAGAAGGGGATAAATGAAACCACCACCACCGCCGTCCTCTCCCCCGCGGGGAAAACAAAAAGCCAACCAACCGAAGAGATAACGACGGCATTCAGATAATTATGCGCGGCGATTGTATCACCATGGAGTGACTTGTAAGCAGAAACTTGCTCATACAAGCACGGAACGATAATGCCCCGAGCGCCTGTGACACGCTCACCTTCACTGGCATTGGTGAAGAAAGGGGTGAAGCGTTGTCAGGTAACTGATCAACGCTCACAGTCAGCTCTTGATTTCCGCTACTATCAAGTGGCTTGTCAGAGCCATCCCCTATCTCAGCGTGCTGGGGTTGCTCAGCGTCAATTGTAGGACCTGGAACAGGCCGGGAGGTAGATGTCTCAACGTGCGGCCGTGCAGACACGGAGCTGCTATCATAACGGAGGTCCGACGTGGCTTCAACCGGGCCGGCATCAGTGTCGTCGCTCTCGGGCGCCTGCGTATTCGCGGGTTGAGAACCATCAGCCGCAGGTCCAGTCGTTGGGGGCAGATCAGATACATCAGTATCATTCGTGGAGTCTGGGGTGTCGGGCGCTTGGATCGGGGTTTTGCCTGAGACTTGTAAGCTCTGGTGATGACACCTTGCACTTTACTAATACACAGTCAGCCGGTCCGGGAACGAAAGCCTGCTTCTGAGGTAGTACTAACTGGGGAACCATTGCTTCTCTCGTGATATCTGGCGCGGCAACAACGCCTCACTCAGTGGTTGTAGCTTTGAGGAGCATCTCCAGTGGCTGCCCGATTACTGTTGGGTAACGAAATGTCAAGGGCGAACTGAAATACAGTGCCATGATGACTGGTCGTGCTTGGTACGTCGTACTCTTGCAATTGAACAGCGGTGGAAGACACAGTGCCGGAACACTGAGCTTTCACGATGGCGTCGCGGCGTAGCTACGCAACGAACGAGGCAAATCGAGGAAGAATTGGTGAGCTAGCATCAGAAGAGAGGAGAAATACGACAAAGAGTGTAGAATGTCGTGAACAATGACAGATTCAGGGGTAAGGACATAGATTGAATATTTGAAGTACAGTCGACGAGCATTGAGCTCATGTCGCGGACGTTGATGTCACTTGTTCTGGTGATGTGATGGCGAACATTCAAGGACTTGGGGGCTAACACCTAGCGAAGCTTTGATGCACACGCGTTGGGAGTTGTTCACTGCGCTGTGAACATCCGCAACAATCTGCATACGAACACTCAATGCGATCTTTTTTGCACTCGGAGTCTATAATCTACAAAGACAGTAGCCTGCAAAAGACCACTAGTATTATTCATATCATGCAGCAGATGAAGACAGAGTAATTGACGTGACATGTAAAAGTCATTCCAGGCCTCCTTAGGTTCAGCTTACCCAGAGCCAGTACCAGCAGATTTGTCCTGAATTGTCCACTAACTCTTCAGGGTTGGTTTGAGCATTACAGGGCCTTCGGGGCGCGCCAGACAGGTTTACGGGGGAGTATTCAAGGCCAGGCGGCAGTCCGCTACACCTCGTTCTCAACCTCGCTAAAATGGCTCTGCTCCGACAGGGAGTGTCTCTTTTACACTGTTCCATGGCGAAGGTGGTAGACATCTGTATCATCGTCTCTTGAAATGTCCCTGGTCATCAATTAGGCGTCTTGTATTTTGTGTATATCTTTATTCAGTCACTCATCGCTTTCTTGCTGCCTTCCCTGACGTGGTTCGTCTTAGTCATGCTGGCTCTCGGTAGTGTTGGTAGTCGCATCGCCTCGGGCGGATAACCTAGAGCTGGGACTACTGCAGTATCTACAATAGACATAAATATTTCTTATAACGCAGGCACATATTTAATACCGTGACTACTACTAGCAAACGGAATTTCGAGGCTGGAGTTGAAGATCTCAGCGAACAGATGATCTTCTTGATTGGGCTGCCACTTTCAAGGTAGTATGCGCTGTATGCAGCATTTCGACTTTAAGCCGAGTGGCGGGTGTCGCGACTTCACTTCTTGCCTTGCTCATTTTAGGTCGTCTTGCCCTATATATAGATACCAATATCATTTTTGGAAGATGAAAGCCTCTTGGGCGAGCTCGCTAGCTTTCTGCTACCTCATCAGAGTGTAACTCGCGATGAGCCCAACTCCAAGCCGCGACGACCGCTATGGCGAAGCCCAAGCTTATATATACTAACAAACGCGGTAAGGAAAGTTGACTAGATTTCCGTAGACGGCAAGATTTCTAGTAGGATGTCACCTCGCGCAAACGATCCGGACGCTAGCCCTCATTGGACTCCGAAGAGAGCCTGGGACAACTATCTTACGCACCAACGGGAGAATCGCTGCTGCGTCTTGACACGGAGATCTTTTGTTCAATTCATGGCAGGGCTTCTAGTAAATACTTCAGGGGATATAGACTCCTCAGGGGCCTCAAACGGGTGACCACTGAGGAAGCTGACGGGATGGGCTGGAATGCTTCGCATCCGTCATCACAACCCATCGCTCACTAGGCTGACCGCATGGAATTTAATGAGAAAATTGTTACTGTTGATCGAGTTTAGTTGGCTAGATCATACAAGTAGCATTGATTCGACAGCTCAGGCTCTGAGACCGAATTGTTATCGCCTTTCAGAGACAAGACCTGCGAGCGAGTCGATGCTGAGAATAAAGAGAAGTTATAGCTGCCTGGTCGACCAAGAAAGATGGATTCTTCCTTCGACGATCGCAAAATAGCCTTGATATGCACTGATACTTTCTCACCGTTGCTTTACGGTAGATGTCGACGTGTAGGGTCGAGTGGCTGTTGTGAAACTCACGGCGGACCAGAGGGAATGCAAATTGCCGCTCGACCTGTATAATGTCTCTGAATTTATGAAGTCCTATGGAATTCTTTATGACATATACCTTGCTAATCATCGCTTGACCTAGCTTTAGTCCAGATTCTGTGTTGTTGAGATGCATACGAAATCACCGAAGGCTTCAAACAACTCTCTGCCAACATTCATAATTAGCTTAACAGCTTTACAAAACACCGATGCTAGTACCAATTCTTGACTCGCTCTTTTGTCGTCCTATACTTTAATGCCAGACGTCCGTACTCTCAGAACTTCAGGTCAAGGTGATGCATCGAGGTAGGGGCAAAGTCTCATGAGGGAGGTAGCTCATTGCCAGGAAGGTTCAGAGTGCCTAACCACGTGATTCATCTGAAATTATCGCCTCCATCGAGATTACTAGTGTTAAGACATGATTCTCTTGGTTCCTGGTCAATTCTCGGTAATGTGGTGCGATGGTGAATTACTTTAGAACATGCTTAATGTGTCGGCTGTACAGCAACCGGCCTGAAATGGAACCGTAGTAACTATATTCCAAACCTTTAAAAGGCTACAAGAATTCTAAATGTGTAGTACGTTGGCTGTTTTTTTCTCTTTCTTAAGAATTATTGAGCAGAATTGATGTCTCAACTTCAGGGCTGATAATGTGAAGTCAAAGTCATTTCGTTGTTGCTCGACGACGATTGGCCTGTTCGCTGTTGCTTCCCAATGCAGTTAGTGCTGGTCTCTCAGCCTCGCCATTGACGAACCGCTAGCGCTAAGCGACTCGATCCTTCGAACAAGTCATCTCTTTAGCTGTTCATTCGTCTGTTCGGCATTCTTTCTCTTTCAAACCTCCCACGGCCCCAGCTACATCACAATTAGCGCCATGCTCGCTCCAAAACCCGCGTCCCGAGGCCGAACTAAAGTAAAGACAGGCTGCGCAACATGCCGGTCAGCCCAGACTCCACCATCTCATCCTTGCAAGTTTCATACTTACCGGAAATAGAATCAGAAAGATCAAGTGCGACGAGGCCAAGCCCTTCTGTGAGAAGTGTGTCAAGACTGGACGCAAATGCGATGGTTACGAATCTGTCTTCAGGCCCTTTCCCAGCACGCCGCAGCCGATCGTCAAGCCAGATCCAGGGCATGATTACGCTAAGGACGAGCCTCCATTGAGCACTGGGGATCTCAATCGATACTTCTCGACCAAAACGATATTCGATGTTGAGCTTAGCTGCAATGAAGAGGCAGAGCAGGTCCTGCAAGCTAGCATGACTAACGACTCGATACGGCATGCTCTGCTGTCTCTCAGGGCTCTTCGTGGAAATCTCGAGGCGAAGAACGAAGGAGATACATCCGAGACCGACGCACAGCAGAGATTGAGCTACAACTTCGGCCTTCAGCAGTATAGTAAAGCTTTAACGAGTCTTGCTTCCAACCTTGCATATCCCAGCCCCGAAAGCCTAAAGTCCGCACTGCTTTGTTGCCAAGTCTTGATCAGCGTTGAGCAAGTCCGGGGGAACTTTTCAGCCATGGGACTGCACATCATTCGAGGACTGGACATCCTGCGCGAGTACCGCGCCAGACCGTACATGACCACCGATGGCCTAATGCCAGCACGACATACTGGTCTGCCTGCCTTGGATGTCTTTATTATAAAGCTGTTCGCTGCGCCTTGCAAGTTCACGGAACAACAACCCCCCGAATCTTCGAACATAGCAATGCCGCCGGTTGAGACGAAAGATCGAAAGCTGGCACCGAATATGCGAGCGGAACTCACAAAGTTCGCTACGTCCACTATCGCGCTGCTCGAAAAGACGGCAAAGATCCAGTTGGAAGAACAGGCTCATGTGCTTCTCTCGGAAAGACGAGGCTTGCTTGATGGCTTGGACTCATGGCTCGCTGCTCTCGAATCGCTTCAGAATGAGACACAACCGGGAAAGCCAGAGTCTATCTCTGATGACTTCTTGCGTATCTTATATCTTATCCTGAAAATCATTCTTCTTGGAACTTTAGAAACTTCACCAGATCTTGATGCCAAGCTAAAGGAAGAAAACAAGCAGCTACAAGGTTTAGCGAACCTCGTCAATGAACGACTAAAGGATTATGATATGCGACAAGGGATTAATACTAGCTTAGCAAAGCAATCTCAATAAATAAATGAGTCATTAATTTTCGCGACACTCTGTTCCTAAGTCCGTCACGAATTTGTAAGCCCGAGACGCGAATCGTGAGATGCGGCTCATCCCAGAAAAGCATGTTGACCGAACTGGCCAATGAGAAGCTGACTCTGCTGTTCAGTCCGACATCCAGGCTCAAGTATATAAACAAGCAATTGAACCATGAATACTTTTCTCATCACCATCAGCTTCCTCCAGTCGTCTAATATCAATCGAAATTATCATTCTTGCTTGAGTTTATCGCCAATATCATTAGCCTCCTCTGATGAGTAACTCCTCCGACAAACAACTCCTGCGATAATCTACCACTCTAATAATCAACTCCTCCGCTAAATAAGCCCTGTAACAAACAACCCCCTCAACACTAGCTCCTCCGATAAACAACTCCTCCGTCTCCCACCATGCATTTCCTCCTCCTAGGCGCAACAGGCCGAACCGGCAAATACGTCGTCTCCGAACTTCTGTCTCAGAATCACACTGCCGTCGCTCTTGTCCGCGACTCCAGCAAAGTTTCTTCTCAACCTGGTCTCACCATCGTTACCGGCTCGCCGCTCTCCAAAGCCGATATCCGACGCGCTCTCACAGCTGCTCCAGGCTTGACACCATCCGCAGCAGTCATGACTCTCAACACGGTCCGAAAGTCAGATAGTCCCTTCGCAGCTCAAGTTTCACCGCCTCGCTTTTTAGCAGACTCGTGCGCCAGTGTTTGTGAGGTTTTGAAAGAAGCTGGTATCAAGCGCATCGTCGTCATGTCAACGGCGGGTGTTGGGGACTCGTGGAGTAAACTTCCGTGGGTGAGCAGAGCGTTCATGGGATGGACGAACATCAAGTATGCTCTTCAGGATCACAACCTGTTGGATAAAGAGATTCGAGCGGCCGGTATGGACTGGACACTTGTGAGAGCTGTGAGATTGGATTTTGGGAAGGAGACGGACAAGGAGGTTGAGACACTGGGTAGTGCTGGTGAAGGAATGGGTATGGCTGATAGCGTCACGCCGAATAGCGTGGCGAGATTCTTGGTCAAAGTTGCAATTGAGGGATCGTTCATGAAGGAGGCCGTTGTTGTCCGGAACTGAAGAGAATTACGAGGTTTGGTCTGCCAGTTTCGAGATTAGCAGAGTTTACTACATCATGTACGATAGTAATCACAAGATCAAGGGTACTTTACCGGGTTACTATAACTAGCCTGAACAAATGTATCATATGCTATCTGTATGTATCATGATCATGACGAATATATACAAAGAAGTTATACACAATTTCCCATATCATCCAACTTCAGATACTCGGCCAAACTGCGCTTAGTACACCTTGGTAACAGGAGTCTTGATATAAGACTTCAGGCTAGTCTTGCCATTCATCTCCTCATCAATAGCCTGAACAAAAGCCTTAGCAATGAGATCCGCAGCCTCAGGGCTAGTATGCGTATGATCCTTGGGATACAAAGAGTTAACCTTTGCATTACCCAACTTCTGATACATCTTCGTCACAGCAGCAAAGTGATCAACATAAGTAACGCTAGCACTGTTCAACGCCTTGGCAGCAGTGGGAACATATCCCACGAAGCGAGGAGCAGCAGGCTCAAACGTTCCAGTCTCCCATTGGTTATTGGGCGTCTGAGAGCTGAGAATCACAGTGGCGCCCTTGGCGACGAGGGCCTTGGCGGCTTGCGAGACGTAGAAGACAAAGGTGTACACTTTCTCGCCCGTCTTGTCGGAGATGCAGACTTCTGTGCCGGCGCCGGGGCAGTCGGAGCGGTTGTTGTCGTTCTTCTCGGGAGAGCCGCCGTCGTTGTGGCCGAATTCGATGACGACGATGTCGCCTTTCTTGACGAGATTGACGATCTCGGTGAAGCGGCCCTCATTGGTGTAGGAGCGGGCTGAACGGCCGCCGATGGCTTTGTTGACGGCTGTGACCGTGAGATATTTGCCGATGTAGTTACCCCAGCCGTCGGTTACACCATCGTTGGCTCCATTCTTTGCCATGGTGGAGTCACCTTTTCATCTGATCAGCATCCATCCCGATCACCAGCAACTCGCTGGACTTACCAGCAAAGTACACCGTCTGGCCAGACACGACCTGGAAAGCTCCAGCGGCGAGCGCCGCAAGCGAAAGGGACAGCTTCATGATAAGGCGAGTTTCAGATAAAAAAACCACTGAGAGTGCAATGAAACCCAAGACGTCGCCCAGAGCTGTATATATCTACTCCAAGCCATGCAATTGCATCAATTAAACCCCCAAACTAACAATCCAGGTGATCATTCGTTTTACAAAACAAGGTTCGCGATCTAGACTCCGCGTTTACCTATTCGAGCGGGCTCTCCGTCAGTGCCAAGCCTGATGAAACAGGGATATGAAGGCTTTTCCCACCATTCAGAAAACATATCGACCCCAGACGGCCGCCAGGATTGGGCCGGCACTTATGATGCAGCCGATTGATGGATAAAGTCCCGGTATGCCATTTCGTTAGGGATTGACGCGGTGCACTCGGTCATCTCGGCATTGTTTCATCGGTTGTTAGTGTAGAGTTTAAAGTCATTCGTTGAGGTACGGGAGTTGTCTCGGGGGAATGGAGGCCGAACGCGGGGATAGTGGCATATCATTTCCCATTTGGACGGAAAGGCATTGGGGGAGATTTAAGCTTGGAAGGTGACAGTTTGATGCTAACTGGGACCTCGGCTCTTAGGTTGCGGTTTTCTAAAGGAAAGTGTCATTGAAAATGCAGAACACCTCATATCCATCTTTTTGGTAAAGCGGTGAGATGACCCGGACAGAAGGGAGTTTTATTAAGTCGCGACAGCATAGTCTCTTTGCCTCAACATTTATTAACCTTCGAGACTTTCGTATGTATGAAACTCCACAAACTTCAGTAAAAGCTGACAGTAAATCGGGGAATAATGTGTTGTAAAAAGCTTAAAAGTGACATGTCTCTTAAACTCTAGACTGAAGACAGGAAGGGAAGAGGTCTCAAGCTCTTTTGGACCAATGCTGCCAAAATCTCGATATCATGGAAGGCAATGTGAATTCATGCTGCAAGAAAGCTATAGAGAAATCACAAGCTTCCATTGCAAAACCGCGTGGCTTTTTATACCTGTATAGTTGATTGCCAGAACCAGCTCACCCTAGAGTCGTTCAAGCGTCTCTTATCGATAAGGAACCATGACGACAACAGCATACGTTCCTTATCATCATGATACCGGCGATAAGTGATAAGAAGACAACGATCGACAGCGGTTTCAGGTACCACGAGTAACTCACTGTACCGTGAGATTTGTCCGAGCTCATTCATTATCTGTGTTTGCAGCCTAAAGCTTAACCTTATAGGCCGCCGTCGTCCATAGTCCGAGCTCATTATCAACGGGGCCGTCATGATCAGGAGATAGCTTCTGGATTAGAACGCTTGTTCTTGTCTACTCTTGACCTACATTGTGCTATGATCTGATATTTAATAGCCTAAAAAGCCCAAGCTACCTGGCTTGGAATCGAGTAAGGCTTCAACAAGGAGTCGTTGCACTTAAGGGTATTTCCTGATAGTCTCGGCTCTATTGAGGGTTTACTGGTGCTTATAATTAATATAACTTAGAGTCTTGGTGAACTAGGTCTAGCGATGGATTTACTAGCTATTGCTTTGAATAAGGCTTGGAATTGGTTTTTGAGACATTCTTGTCTATCACAAAACTATTTATTCTAATAATAAATATTCTTAACAGTGGCAGGTTCCTTCGCAACAAGGCTTACTGACAGCATTGACAGTCAATTGCCCGTTCGCCACGTTATTTCCCGGCTGTGTAGGAACACTTCCACAAAGCTTGCAACCGTGATCGATAATCTCCTGCATGTAGTGGAAAGCATCGTTGGCTGTTCCAGAAGCGCCGCTCTGGAAGAACGCACATATGCTGCCTACGTCACCTGATGTGCAAGCGACTTGGGCTGGAATTTCGGTCATTAACATTGGTGATGTTTTGTTGATTTTAAAGATAACTCACCGCCATCGCCAAAGAATCTATCGCCTTGACCATCGGCAATCATGTTGCCTATCTGATCTTGGATGTTCTGGATACTGGGACCGAAAGAGAGGTTGCACAAGCCGCTGCCACGGCAATTAATGCCCAGGCCAACAACGGTGGATGCAAACAGGACAATTGAGGATGAGAAACGCATGATGAGTGTGTTGAAAAAGATTTAGCGGTAAGTGTTGTTGAACGTAGACGAGGTATCTTGAAGCTGGTGAGAATGAACCTGTTTAGCATAGGGAAGGAAGACTACTTATACCTCTTTTAAGAAGAGGACTAAGAGTCGAGTCATCGCCTTACCATCTTGTTCACTGTCGATCTTATGCTCATAAAGTCAGTGCAACAACTTTCGCCCGCGAAGGTCTGTCACATTTGATCCTGAACAAACTACGATATGTGCCCGCAAGTGGTCCTCAAGCACCAGAAAGTGACGATACGTGACGCACTTTTGTTTTCCTTGTCGCAAGGTCATGGACTGCACGTGGAGACTATAGCAGATACGTGATTGGGACAGTTGTCTTGATCGCCAACGAAGAGCTCGAAAGGGAAACCTGAATAAAGGTGAATTAATGCTCAGCCTGGAATGGACCTCGTTAAAACGGTATATGTATCTGTATGTCTTTTCAGTTGCTGCATTGCCGATCATTCACACGAATTTCCTCTTTGGCATCCGTTGACCTTGATGGGCCGATGTCCCGAAGTTCCCAGCTGACGTCAAGCTGAGATTCAGGCTCGCGGGGAAAAACACGCATTTCTGCTTTCAGAATAGTCTCAGGCAGGTCAATGGAGTAGTAGTTTGCGGCCGACTGGTGATGTCTCAGGTGCTATGCCTGCTGGTGATCGGCAAAAAAATACGATTACCGATCTCTGAGATGCATATACGAGGCTTGGGTCGGATAACGGGCCAGCTCGGATGCCCGGATGTTGGCAGCGTGGACCTAGCGTCGAAGTCTTTAGACAGAGCGGCCGCCTTAAAATCTGGGCCAAATGATGTCATATATGCTTTTTCTAAGCTACCACTTGAATACTCAAGACTAGCTACAAGCAATAGAATAAACAAGTATTGAACAGCAATACATACATTTGATCCTAATTTAAACATCAATCGCTATCAGTAGCTCTGCTACTACTTAATACTAGTGTATACATCAAGATATTAGAGTAGTGATAGAATATATATTTATATTATAATTATTATCTAACAAGCTCCCTGACAATTAGGATGGCTGACATAGTTAACCGTCAACTGTCCATCCGCAACATTATTGCCAGGCTGAGTAGGAACCGAGCCGCATTTCTTACAACCGTGGTCCAACAGGGCTTGCAGGTCTGCAGAAACCTGCTCAGCTGTGCCGCTGGCGCCATTTTGAAAGAAGGCGCAAGTATCGCCCGTGCAGGCAATCTGCTGCTGAGCCGGATAGAAGCGGTCTCGAGGCTGGATGTTGTCGACAATCGATTTGAGGTTGATGAGGTTTCCGCTGCCGCCACCGCAGGCAAAAGAGCCGCGGCAGTTAATGCCCAGGGCGGATGTAGTAGCGGCGAGAGAACCGAGGGAGAGAATGACAGAGTACTTCATTTTGAATGCAGTAGAAGGAGTTGTCTGGTGGTATTGATAAAGTGTGTTGAGTAGTAGAGCTGTGAAGAGCTGTGAAGAACTGTGAAGAATTACTGCGTTATTGTCACGAAGCAGTGGGCTCTTGTGTAAGTTTATAAGTTCTGCTAACTATATCTGGTGCTCTTGACAGCTTCTATCTGCTATGTCTTTTCTACCTATAAACTTGAATTGCCTATCTGGTAAGTGAGTGGAACTATTGTGATGCTTATTGCATTGTCGATCACCTTGAAGGACTCAAAACTCCACACCACCCGGAACTCGGCTTCACATAATCATCACGGCCCACCTCAACGCTATGACAATTCCTTAAAGTCAAATACGTCAAAGTGGGTTCCCTGAAGTGTCTCGCATACCAATTGACCAAGGATATCACAGCGATCGACGCGTGCCGTTTTTACGAACTTCCTTTTTCTGTAAGGCAATAGCGAAGCTGAATATTGCTAACTGTAAAGTGGTAGAAGATATCATCATAATGGCCACGATGCATCGCATCATTACTGTATAAGGAATATCGCAGACTGCAGGAATCGGAAAGCCCGGCTTGCCTGATCAGGATCTGTTGGCAGGGTTCGGGAAGCTGGCCAAGTTGAATCGGCCGCCGTAGGAGTTTAGGCAAACGACTCATGTTGAGAACTTAGTCTAGCTATCAACCTGAAGGATCCTCCTCTACCTATCCTATAAAGCACAAACTATATAAGTTAACTTTTTAGCCCCTCAGCGGACAACATATCATCAAACTGCAACAACTCTCCGAACTTTCTCTACAAACACCTTTACATTAACCAACTTGCCCTTTTTTAGACACCTTATATAATAAACTTCACTATGCATTACGCTTTGGCTATTAGCACTCTTCTCTCCACCGCTTCGGCACTGGGCATTAACTGTCGAGGATCTGGCTTTTGCAACATCAACAACGCTAGCTTGAACGATGTCTTGACTCAAGCAAAGCAGCTAGTAGCTCGCGGACAGGGTGATCACTTCTGGCCCGAGCATGGTATGTCCACAGCAACGAAGTACAGCACATTTGACTGATAGAATCTAGTTCAAATTGCTTGTGCCTCAGGCCAGTACGGCTCGATCTGTGCTTTCTTCCAGAATGGTGCAAGTGGCACTACGACCCGGGCTATCGACTTGATCCAGGGCATCATTGACCATGGATGCACTCAGTGTGGCAGCATTCCTACGAATCCTGGTAATAACGTTGATAGTGGGGAGTTGACAGTGAACTATGTTCAGAATCCTTGCTGTAACGGTAACTGCTACTGCCCTGTTTAACAGTATAAAGACTAGCATAATCTATTATCCTCAATGTCAAGTACTAGCTATCAAAAGAGTGACCAACTTAAGCTCCAAGTGCTATAGCAAAACCTGAAAATTGACTTATCATGAACTTCATCAATTCCAAACACGTTTACCAATCCCATCCAATAAAATCCCTGCGAATTCAATTCATCATAACCATGAAAGAGCCTCACCCCTTAATAAACCTCTATGAAACGAAACGAGCACTTTTTCGCAATGATTAAATACCCCGCCAATAGCAGCCTCGACATTTGAAACACCACCATCCTTTTCCGTTAAGCGCTTCCTTTCGCAGGGATCCATGCCAAAATTCTGGATCCACTCAAGGAACAAATGTTGATAGATGACTTCACCCGCAGGTTTTGTAACGCACAAGGTCTGAGGTCAGAGTACCCTTGTAGACGTTCCTTGCTCTTGGAGGAAATTTTCCCGGTTGGTGTACGTATGTTCATGTTCATCGGACATTAAGGCGTATTGATTGCATCAGACCCGCTGATCATCGCGTGTAAAGAGATATATAGGATGTTAATGTTCGCTGTAAAGTGACTCTGTTCAAGCTACGCTCTTTGTCGCTGCCTTTCTTTCTCTCCCACCGCCAGTACGGTGTTTCTTTCTTCTCTACCGCTCGCGGTACATTCCATTCTTTCAACTAGACCCTGGTGGTCTATCCTCACTCTCTTGAACCATTCATTCATTCTTAACCATGCGCTTCACACTCTCCAGCATGGCAGGCCTTCTAGGTCTCGCCTCCGCCCAAGGCCTTCGATCCTCCGCCTACAACGATCCCAAAACTGGCATTGACTTTCAGCGCTTCGTCGACGATGGGTACAGTCTTGGTATCGCCGTGCCCGAAACCTTGGGTAAGGATCTCATCGCGCAGATGGTGTTTCCTCGTGAGAAGGAGGGATGGGGTGGTATTTCCTTCAGAGGCGGTATGGTTGGCGGTATGCTCTTTGTTGCGTGGCCGAATGGTGATGATATTGTTACGAGCTTTCGTATGGCAAACTCGTACGCTAACCCGGATGTTTACACCAACTCTACCGTTAAGGCTACGCCTATTCCTGAGGGCACTTTTGTCAACAGCACCCATGTCTCGTATACTTTCCTCTGTGAGGGGTGTGTTGTTAAGGAGACTACTTCGTTGACTGGCGAGTCTCCTGTTGTGGGATATGCGTGGTCGTCTATTGATGTTGATACCCCTTCTGATCCCGAGAGCGCTCTGAACTACCATGGCGCTGGCTTTGGACAGTTTGGTCTTGATATCAAGAAGGCTGCTTCTGCGAAGTACGCTACCTGGGCTGCTATGGCGAAGGAGACTACTCCTGCTCCTGGAACAGGCACACCCGTTCCTGGAAACTCCACCACTCTTCCTCCTACCACTTCCAACGTTACCTACGATGTCATCGTCGTCGGCGGTGGTCCCGCCGGTATCATCGCCGCCGAGCGTCTCGCCGAGAAGGGTGCTAGTGTTCTTCTCATCGAGCGCGGCCCAGCCAACACGGTCGCTCTCGGTAACGCTGCCCAAGCCCTCCCATGGAACAACACCCTCACTCCCTACGACATCCCCGCCCTCGGCAGCAGCATGACCAGCATGTCTGGCACTAAGTTCTGCAGCGACACCGCCTCAACCGCAGGCTGTCTCCTCGGCGGATCCAGCTCCATCAACGGCCTCAACTTCATCCACCCTCCTGAGCGCGATTTCCAGCGCTGGCCTAAGGGCTGGAGCTGGTCTGACCTCTCCAAAGCCGCTGATCGTCTTTACGAGCGCAACCCGGGTACTACTTTACCCTCAGACGATGGAAAGTACTACGATGATCGGACCTTCACTATCCTCTCGGGATACTTGAGTGCCAAGGGCTGGAAGGAGGTTGACTCCATTGAAGAGCCTAATGAGAAACACCTCGTGTACTCTCGTCCTTCATGGTCTATCAAGAACAACATGCGTGCTGGTCCTGCTCGCACTTACATGCCCTTTGCCAAGAACCTCCCCAACTTTACTCTCAAGCTCGAGACCAAGGTTATCCAGCCCATTCGATCCGGCAGCAAGATCACTGGTGTTCTTACCCAAGGCGCCAACGGTAGCAAGCAGATCATCAACGTCAAGGCTGGCGGTAAAGTCGTCCTCGCTGCTGGTGCCATGTCCACCCCCCGTCTTCTCTGGAACGCTGGTATCGGCAAGTCAGATGCTCTCGCTATCGTCAAGCAGGGTGCTTCCAAGACTGGTGTGACTCTCCCCACTGCTTCTGACTTCATCGACCTCCCTGTTGGACACCATCTTCAGGACCACGCTCAGGTCATGCTTCAGTTCAAGACTAAGAGCAACTTTACCGCTTACAAGTTCAACAACATTGCTACCGAACCCGTCAAGTCTGATGTGGAGCTTTACTACCAAGGCTCTGGTCCCATTACACAGGCTGCTCAGCGCATGCACCTCTGGACATCTGCCAAGGGCGCTGATGGTCGCACTCGATACCTTCAGGGTACCGCTAGTGCCATGGCCGACGGCATCATCACTGTCCGCACATTCTTGACCCACGGTACCAGCACCGTCGGTGAGCTTGGTATCACCGCTGGTGGAAACACCGTCCTCAACACCAAGCCCTGGTTGATCGACCAGGAGGATCGCAAGGCCATGGCTGACTTTGTTCAGTACTGGCTTGACCTCACCAGCGGCAGCAACTCTACCCTTTCCTACATCACCCCCGGTGCCACTGTAGATGACATCCTGGCCACCAAGATGATCAGCGGCGATCACTGGATGGGTAGCGCCAAGATGGGCGTCGACGACGGCCGCAAGGCCAACGGTAGCGCTGTCGTCGATCTCAACACCAAGGTCTACGGCACCGACAATCTCTTTGTTGTTGACGCCTCCATGCACCCTGATCTTCCCACCGGCAACACTCAGGCCATCATCATGGTGGCCGCTGAGCACGCAGCCGAGAAGATTGCGGCTCTCAAGGTCGGCGGTAGCAACTCTACTGTCCCTGAGCCCATCAGCTCAGCTCCTACTCCGGTTCCTACTCCTGGATCCAAGTGCAAGCGAGGTCTTCGTCGCCGTCGCGCTGCTCGTGTTCCCATGGACTTTCGACGACGATCGCTCTACTGAGTGAAGCAGGGTGGTGTGAATGGATGAAATTCAGTGAACATATTTCTTGTGTATATAGAAGTTAAGGCAGTTGTGAATATATGAGCCCTTCATATGAACATTACCGTGTCGTCGCATGTGAAGTTAAAATAGAAACAATAAATTACCAATAACGAGCCTCCCTGTCAGCATTTAATCTCCCCATAATTCTCCGAGTTCATGAACTTCTATTGGACAGTCTGACCTCGGCTTCGCGTTCGCATTCGTCATCAGCTCGGGATCGGACAGACAAACCATCCGATTTCCTCTGCTAATCAAATCAACTCCCCATTCACCAGAAGCACTCCATTTTCCCCAAATTCCACTCGGAACGAGTGCGAGATTCCACTTCTTCCAGAAACAACCCTCCATCGTTCCTTTACTGCCTTGTGCGTCTCAAGGTCCCCTTTCCAATGGACGGGGAGACGGAACAGGCCAAATCCACTCGCGTGGGGTACAAAAAGTCCCGAAATGGCTGCATACGTTGCAAGAAGCGCCGAGTCAAGGTCTGCAAATAGAGTCGCGACTCATGACTGGTGACACCTGTCTAACCGATAACAGTGTGACGAAGAAGTCCCCTGTTCTGCATGCGTCAGGCACAGAGTTCGGTGTAGCCTGGAGTTTGTCAAATCGGATGACTACCAGGAACAAAAACCTCTGACCAATCGCTCTCTCCAAACGCCCAGCCACAGCCTCCCAGCAGGTAGTCCAGCATCTCTATTATCCGGCTCTTTATTCTCAAGTCCCCTTGATGAACCTGACTGCTGGGTATCTACCGCCGAGCTCATGCTTCACTACACCACCGTCACGTACAAAACCATGGTCTTCAATGAGAGAACCATCCCGACCTTTCAGCAATCAGTACCTCAAGTCGCTCTAGCATATCCCTGGTTTCTTCGACAAATATTGGCATTTTCAGGCTATCACCTCGCTCACCTCCATCCCGAAAAGAGACAGACCTACCTCCTCCAAGCATCAAAACATCAGAATGCTTCTCTCCGCGGACTCAGAGAAGCGATCTCCGAACCAGTCACTTCATCAAACTGCCACGCCTTATACGCCAGCACGACCTTCATAGTAGTCAACAAATTTGCGGCATTTCCGAACTGCGACGACTTTCGAAGTCACGGGTGCTCCCAACCTGTTCAGAGTCTCATGGAGATCTTTTCTCTCGTCAACGGCATGGAGGCTGTTCTTCATTCACCAGGGGCCGCAGATCTCAGAAACGGTCCTCTGAAAGAGCTTTTCTGCGAGACGCCACATCCGCACGTAAACAGCTACCTTCTTCGCGGTCTTCACGCCAGGTTACCCGAGCTTGCACGCCGGATAGCATCAGACTCGATGGAAGATCAGTCCAGAGCCGTCCTGACTTCCGCCGTCGTATCCATCACCGGTTGCGTCGATGACGCGTTTTCAAGCCTGTACAAAGTCTCGCCGCCAGAACTGAGGGTCATCTTCTCGTGGCCCATGTCTGTACCGCGAGATTTCTTGGACCTTGCTGTGTCGGGACATCCTTTGGCTCTTATTATTTTGGCGTACTACGATATTCTACTGTACTGGGGCGAAACGGAGTATTGGTTCTTTGAGAACTGGGCAGAGACGTTGATTACTGCTATTGTGGAAAAGGTCAAGGGTTCACCATGGGATGATCTTCTCAATTGGCCAGTTGAAGTCATTCTACATCATTGATTTATTGCCCAAGTACCCAGCAATGTGGCAAATGAGGTCTCATAATAATATCAAAAATTTTTAGAAGCTCAAGTGTTCTTGTACAATGATGAAGCAGATATTTGAACATTAATCTTGGAATATTCGAGCTAACCTTCAGCTGCTACCGTGACCCATGCCAGGCTGGCTGAGCTGCCAATACCTAGAACGTCAACCGAATGTAAGGAATCTGAAGCTTGGGGTAATATGCCGTTGCGCCGTCAACCGTGCACTTGTAATATTCCGTGAACGAAAACGTCTTGCTGAACCCCGACTTATTAAACGTCTTGGTGACCTGTTTCGAGCACGGCATAGCCATATTCGGAATCTTGGTCCATCGCTGGTACCCAATGGCACTCGGCTCCATGACAACGCCAGCCTTGCCAGGACCAAACGAAGACTTGGCAATCTGGTCATCATACCGCTTAAAAGCTTGCTTCATCGCCAAAAGAGGGTCGTAAAGATCTCTCTTCAGGACAGTCTTCATCATGATTATCTGCTGCAGCAGGTCGTCGTTTGCGGGACGTTCCTTGACGTTGAGTTCTGTGTTGATACCGGCGGAACTTGAGCTGCTGACATTTGCCAAGGAGTTGAATGTTGAGGAAACTATATCCCGATTTTCGGCAGAGTAGCCAGCATAAAAGTCAACTATCGACCCTATTTTCCTTTGTAGGAGGAATGTACGGTCGACGATGGGAACGAACTTGAAAAGATCTTGAACAGTCTGAATTTCGCCTCCTCGGAACAGATCAGCACTTGCAGATTCCTCTGGGAGTTCTTCAGCGGCTGTGTTGGCATCCTTTGCCTCTTGTATGTATGTTGTGAGGAGGTTGCTCGCTGTATCCGGGACTCGCATTTTATAAATAAGCTGGATGTTATTGACTATATCGCCGACTGTGATAGGTTGTTAGTTTCTGTGAGTACCGAATGGCCCCCCGTAAACCTACCTTGCTTGAAAAAAGATGACACAGCAGGTCCATCACAGCTACCGAGCTCAACACAAGAGGTTTGCGTGGCATAATCATATCTCGACTTGAAGCCGAGGAAAGGCGACCCAATATTCTGAGCCGCCGTATTGAAGTCATTGGAAATGGACAGTAGGTTTTCGAGAAGGGGAACCCAGGGAACGAAGAGGCCCTGTCGGAACTGACGGGCAATCTCCGCCATATATGGAGTTAAAAGCTTTGAGATGGTCTCTTGAATTTGCAGGCCGGTACAAAATGAGCCTGGCTTACAGGACTTGACGATAGTCATAAGCTTAGAATAATTGTCTTCGTTGATCTGAGGGCCTGTTAGAGCGATGGAATAACGGAGAAGCTGGTGTAGACTGAACATACCTCGGGCCCCTCGATGATAAGCACTTTGCGCTTTGCCTTGGACTGGAGGGTCTTTCTGACTTTATCCCGGTCATCAGCTGTCGGGAATCCCGCACTATTCATACACTACAAGCAAGAACTGATTAATAGATACCCAGATACAGAAATTGGGAGAGCTTACTTTTTGGGCTTTGACGACTTGGTCGACATCCTTTGAATCCGCGGCCGATAAAACTCCCTGCTCGAACGACTTGAAGCCTGATGTTGCACTCAATTCGCCAATACGGGGTAAGCATTGGCAGATCGCATCGGAGGACTCGATGAAGTTATCTCCCTGGGGCTGACCTAAAAGCTTGCGCACAGTATCGCAAAGGTTGATCTTTTTGGTGAGGACTTCCAAGCCTGTAATGACTTGCTTGGTGGTATCGACCCATCCTCCCCAGTGTCAGCGGGCAGGTCTGCTGTTCAGAGGAAGAACCATACCTGGAACACATCTCAATGCATCACACATAAGCTTCGGCTTTTTCGGAGTAGGACAAGGTTTCTTGTATTTCTCCTTGGTCTTGCATTCGTCATACTAAAGCCAGACAATTAGCAAGCCCCCAGCTGGTCAGCAGATGGAGATGGGTACCTTTCTATCGGGGACTGTCTTGAGGGTAACGTTGACACCATAAGGCACAGAAAACTCGTACTTGCATTTTGACAGGTTCTTCAAGCCTGTACAGGTCTGCTGGAGAGTATTCTGCGCAAGAGCTGCCTCTGCGAGGAGAAACAAGGGAAGCAACTGGGGAAGAAAACTCTGCAATCTCATCGTGTCTGCTAGCGCAGTGTTGGGAATACGATGAGTGCTGTTGCGGCGCCAAAGCTTGGGAATTAGGCAGAAACGACTTTATTTATCTGTGATGCTGCACTTTTGACAGCGCATCTCGCTCACCGACATCTCTGGGGCTATTTGTTTTGCATATCTGAGATTGTGAGCTTGGCTTCATTCGCTAAGCCTTAAGGAACTTGCAAACACAAGGCGTTATGGTTGCGTTGGTAAATGAGGTCTAGACTTTGACGAACAAATGCTCCTTCGCTTATATCACCACAGAGAACTTGACTCCTGCGCCACATTCTTCCCAAAGCGTTCATCTCATGCCATTGGACAGCGCGCTTGCAGAAATGTGGCTGTATAAGCTTGAACAAGGCTGGCTGGACTTTGCTAGTAGGCGCGGACCATCCGCTGGTATGCACCGAAATAAGCTCGACCTTATGCTTAACCTAGGCTTGCCATTGGGGGTTATTTGGATATCGTGATCGTACGGCTTAATAGGCGCATTTTCTCTGTGTTTTCTGTCTAGTCTAAATTTAGTCCTTCTCCAGTTCGTCTACGGTGAGTGAGCAGTGAAATCGACACACCGAAAAATTGCTTAAATTATAAAATTAAATATGATTCAGCCCTTGTAAAGAAGTTGAAGAGAAGAAAAATTCGATGCCCGCCAGAGACCACAGACTAATCCGCATAGGGAACGAGTTGAAGCTCAACGGCTTTCATATCGCTGGGCGTGGACGGATCGCTACTCGACACCATGACAAGAGCAGGAGTGTTGATAATCCTACCAGTGATCACATTGAACTTATCCCAGGTACCAGCAACTGGATTGCAATAGGTAGTATCTGTCGACTCATCCAACTGGCATTCACCAGCCGGTGCAGAGCACTTGAGCTTTCGGTCCCGAGTCTGTTCGCATGTAACAGGTTCTACCCCAGCAATAGGGCTATCGGGGTTGCAGAGCATATTGGAGTTTGGGAAACCCCCGCCGTTGCCGTTGCCGAATGCAACGCACAAGTATTTCCCGGTGTTTGTCTCTCGTACATGGTTGGTGTTGGCGTCGATAGAAAAGGTGAGAACTGGGGGAGTGGGCGCGAACATCGGCGTGAACCAGCCGATGTTGTTATAAGCAACTGGATCGCCACGCAGCAATTGGCCGTCGACGTCTGAGCCTACGGCCTTGATATTGAAGGTAGGAATCGGTATAAATGTGTCTTCAGTGGTCGTGGTTGCTTCAGCAGTTGTCGTGGTCTCAGCAGTCGTAGTAGTCTCGGCAATTGTAGTAGGGATTTCAGTTGTAGTCGTTTCCGTACCAATGGAAGTTGAGAGCTCAACGCTGGCGCTTTGCGACTCGGTCGCCTCAGTTGAACTATTCTCGTCGTCTGTAGATGTGACACTGATGGACAATTCGACAGAGGTTGTAGTAGCTGTCACGATGTCTGTACTTGTAGTTGACTCAACAACAGATTCCGTCAACGATGCGGACGCAGACTCGGTAGATACTATACCTGAACATTTATCAGTACACAAAGCGATACTTGTCAGAAGATCCACTCACTGGAGTCACTCGATGTTCGACTTCGCGGCTTGCATACACTTGCGATTGCGACATTGGCGCCGAGGCCCAAAGAGAGAAAAGCAGCGAAACGCATTTTCGCTATGACAAACGAGCGACAAGAGTAAAGGAATAAAAATTGAAAAGACGAAGAAAGCAGGGACATTGAAGATCCTAAGTATTGCACATAGGGGGTTTGTTTTTGTTTTTTAGTGCTTCACACTATTGAAAAAAAGCGGCCTCAGCTGTGTCAATAGCGCAGGCACTAGCTCCATTTTCCACGATATTGTTTGATTCAGGCTGCTATTGCGGTCTAGAACACCATACCCCGGCCAATTAAATCACCTAAAAGTCTTCTTTAGCCATCGGAAAGTGCGCTAAGGAAAGATCCTTAAGTCTAAGCATCATCCCTAAATAACCCCCTGTCAGGTCTGTGGATAAGTAACCTCTTTTAGTCTAGGAGCTGCTTCAGTCTTTTTGAGGTTCAAAGCACTATCGTGCTGCGTCATGAGATTGAGACACTATACCTGATTAACAAGTATAAGTAAATCTAAATTTGTGTGTATTTTAGTGAAAAAGGATAGCACAAGATAGCTGTTATCTATCTGAAATCAAGTGCGAAAACTCCCCAGTCAAGCTGATGATCTCTTATCGTCCTCAACTATCTGATGAAGCGAGACACCAACATCCGCGACTAGTCGTTCAAGGAACTCCGGGAGCCTTAATGGGACCAAGTCCTCAAGTTCTGTTGCAATACTATTGCTACCAGATGAGGTGACCTTCTCGAGTTCTTTTCCCACAGCCTTGATGATTTCAGGAGTAATCTTTTTAGAAATATCTCTAACGATCTGGAAGAAACTGCGTTAATGACATGTAGCAGTCTATGTAGTGAAGAAGCTTCTACTTACGCGAGTTTTGATCTGCGGCTTGCAGCGCTTCTTCGACACCGCGAAGCGCTTGACCAACACATTCTTGTTCCTAGTCCACCCAAACTCCTTTCTCATCTCATCTTGAATAGCGGAATATCCGAGACCTTGAGCTTTGAGACTCATGAGGAGTTTGTCCTGCTCCTTGGTCCAGCCATTGCTGCTTGAAGGCGTACTCGCAACTGATTGTGTGGAAGGACCTCCTCCGTGGAAGCTTGGAGAGGACTCGGTGTCATCAATCCCCAGAAGTGGCGAGGTTTGGTTGGCGATGACAGTGTTATCGACGTTCGGCTGTAGAGAAGACATGTATGACGCCAAGTCTCGACTGTAGTCTCCCACCTGTCCGGCACCTGAGTGCTCTGTAGGAATGAATCCATTGAGGTTCAAACCGTTGAAACCCTGAGCGTAATTGAAGTCGCCGGCTCCAGGGATGGTGTCTGAGTCGACTGCAGACAAGGCGGCAGCTGGGTCCAAGAACTGGGGCCAGACCGCGGACTCTGCCAGGGCGTTCGGTTGCAGAGCGGGCATAGGGAGAGGAGGAACTGAGTTCCAATCGGCGCTATAACCAGGTGCAAACGGAACCTGATTGGCGGAGGGATAGTCGTCGTGGGTCATAGTGCTTAGTCTTGAAGAATCAGCTCAATACAGCGGCAAAAAAACGAGACTTGGACCAAAATTCGTCGGATCTGCTATTATATACTTAAAAGACATTTTTCGCGTCGCAGGAGGGTTCATGTTCAGATGTCTTAAGATTTTCCTGTAGTTGTTTCCCCAGCATAAGCAGGGCTTACTTAGTTGGCACCTGGGGGTTGAAAATGGGCTTACACGCTGGCCTGGCACTCGGCTTCAAGCCTGGCTCTGTTCCTGGCTGCACGGTTGATTGGTCCGTTGTTCCGGTGCTGGCTGTGCGAATGGCTTTGTGCTTATTTTGAAGTCGGCTGTACGCTTGGCTTCGAGCCCAGCTTTATGCCTAGCTCCGCACCTGGTCTCATGCACAATGCGATGGCGACCTCCCATTTGACGACAAACGCCACCAGCATTACGCGCGCGTGATTTTCAACCCTCTTTTTCGTGACGCCTCAACATATCGCCAGCACGCCTATAATTTTGTGCAAAGAAGGAACGGGAATCTTCATATAAAACCTAGAAAAACTGCCTGAGATCCTGACTTGAAGCCCCAAGTTCCAGCTTCTTTCTCAAACTCAACCTTGGAAACCAACCTTGGAAGCTCAAGCTTTCGACATACACCAAAATATACATTTCAACATCCCGCCATGTCCTTCCACTCCCATGGTGCTGCACCCCGATCGGTCGTGCCCCACCAGGGATCGTGTGCTGTCAGTTTCAGTACCCATCATCGAGAATTTCTGCTAACCTGGAAATGCGTAGGCTGTACAGACCGCATTTAGAAACGCTACTCCATATATCATGCAACTCTTTTTGAATGAGATTGAGAAACTAGATGTCTCTGGAGATGGGCAAACTGACGAGGCCTATCTCGAAAGCCTGGCTGAACTGAAACATGCCGTCGAGCTGATACGCAAGCCCAGAGCTGACAAACAGTTGGCAAGGTTATAAAGCCAACAAGATGTTGAAATTGAACGACCAACTGCAACAAGAGAACTGTGGTGTATAAAAATCAATCGGAAACTGAAAGACTTTGAATGTTAGATGCGGACTTGATGAATGGATTTTATACTTCAACCCAACTACTTACACTCTTTCAATAAATTATCCTTTGCCAACCAATGTTTTATGATCCGCGAAAGGCGGCTGCGGTCAAGCCGAAGCCCTGGCATCAGCCCTCTTGTACTTCCAGCCCTCTTTCTGCACCTGAGCTTGAGGTGTTAGTCCTCTGGCACGGACTCGATGGTTGCGGTGATCAAGAGGACTGGCTACTGCCATTTGTGATCCAGTTTCTTCCAGATTGTTCGACACTCATCCAAGAGGATTAGTCTCGACAGACGAGTGCCCCAATCACCAAGATGGATAAGGAAGGAGAGAAGATCTTGAGGGCTGAAGTAGAGTTGTTATTTACAGGGACTTCGATAGATCATATTTGCAACCGGGTGCCCTCCTCGTATTATCTTGAAACACATTCTATCAGACACTCTGAGGTTCTATTCATAAGCCCCAACCATCACAGACGTACAGTCTCTAGCACGATGGAAGACTTCCGGTGGTATAATGATGCCACTGAGATGACTCCTCGATTTCAGAACCAAGATGGTGAAACAGATCCTGACTATCCCTTGCCGAGGGCCAACTCAAGACAGACAGAGTACAACTTCGAAATCCATGTCCCGGAAGCCATACCGCCATACCCAATGACGCTCGGTTACAGTACTATTCCTACCCAGCCTAGATTTCTGACCACACTGCTGGAGCACTTAGTCCGGGTGTGAGCATTACCCAGCCCCATAATCGACAAGGAGTCTTCCCAGTCTTCCCATCCAACAGCATGTCCCTTGTAACCTATATGAGCTCACCTAATGCAGTAATGTTCCAACAGAATGGCATGCGCATCAGCGTGCCACCCTACCCTATTGACGCCGATGTAGTGATGGCTGATGCCGAGATAGTGTCTCAATGTCCTTCGGCCTCTGTCAGTCAGCCCCCTGAGAATATGAGTTGTCCTATCACAATAGCGAAAAGCCCGGGACAATCAAAGAAAAAGAGTTGCAAAAAGGAGGGGCCAAAGAACCGAGACGAGAAGTGGTAACCATGGCAAGAAACCATAAGATTCCTCAAGCTCGAATAAGGACACATATTGCATGAGGTAGCAGTTGAAATGTCTAGTATACGCGGTTTCAAATTTGCGTGAGCTTATCGCCGCACCTCTCACATTCAAACCCAAATGGCACGCGCGACTAACTTCTGAGTAGAGTCTCGACGTATCAAAAGCTTGGCGACAGATGGGAAGAATTCAAGACGGAGAAAGCTAAGGACAAATCCTCACGTCACGGGAGGTTTGGAAAGTGTGCTAGATTATCAATGGGAATTCTCGGCAAATTCAAGCGCAAGGCAGATGCACAACGCTACCTATGGTACTATCAGTATCTTTCGAGCCTTAGGTGTACCAGTACAAAATTCTCCGCGCCTTTGACAGCCTTGTCAAAATACTCTTTGACCAGAATGGAAGATACAAGTAGAGCACCAGCATGATTACACTTACCCTATCAAACCAGCACTTGGTAGATTCGGCTACCAAGAGCTTGGCCACCTGGCAAAGCTTGTACGACAAATGCCGGGGAATCGAAGCCTTCCATGAAGGGCTCATGATGAAAGGAACATTGGGCAGACTTAAAGTTTTGTTTGACCGCGTTCTTTCTCAGGTCAAGGTAGCTGAATTCTTTTGTGACCCTCACATATTACTCCATATTTGGAAGGTCTGTGATACTCTCATGAGTGTCATTCTGGACGGGGAAACATGGGTGGAAAAGTACATCGTTGTCGGCGTTTTCCTTCAATCATTGCAATTTCGCCTACGTGACTTGGCTTTCAAGGGCTCTGACCACCTGATGGTGGTCGTCGATTCTCTGTTCTCTATACTCAACTTAACACCTCTCGACCTGAGGAAGAGCTTAGGTCTTGGATTCTGGAAAGTCGTGGAAATTCTTAGTTCACGGATTGGAAATGATCATTTCGTCGTCCTAAATTTCGGCATGCATTACAACCAGATCTGGTCGAATATCTGGGGGCTCGTGGATGCAGAAGAGTTGCAGACACGATACAAGCATTACCCCCTAACAAACGGTGGTTACTGGCCCCCAATCACAGCTGCGGATCCCGGACATCAGGGTGTATCAGTGCGTGATGGGCAACTGGAAAGGATTGAGATACTGCACATGAGTGGCGTGGCTTTGAGTGACGTTCTGTCCACTCTCAATGCCAACAGAAGCGACGATCGGACCCGAGTGTCTAAAATTACTTTGCCATTGAATCTCGCTGATTGTGTCTGTCTGAAACTGGCACAAGGTTCTTGCAGATAAGAAGCAACCCAGGGGAGGCTTAAGTACACCACAGTGACCCGGGTCCTTGCTTTTGCTTTGGAACAGCATGCTTATAATCTTCATGAAAAGGTAACAACCGATGATCTGGATCTTAGACAGCGAAGGGAGATTGGGAAGCGAAGAAGCGAAGCCAGGAAAAGGGTCACGTTGGGACATTTGAGAGAAAGAGATTATGAGGCAGCTGTCAGATTCACCGCCAACCCAGGTGCATAGCGGATATATACCGCTTCATGGACGAGGCAATCGAGATCCTACGAAAAGGAGACAAGGATTGCAAACAATGTGGGGAGGAGTTCGACAGCCGGAACAAACTCTTCGAGGAGCATGTCCATGCCGTGGGAGCTTGTCGTGATAACCGTAATCCTTTTATGGGTTGGTCTTCTCCAAGAGAGTGAGAATAGTCTTTTTGATGTTAGTGTTGATTGCGTAGAATTTCGGTGATGGCGATGGTGGTGGCGGTATATTTGCCAGATTGAAATTCGATAGATTCTATCATCCCAATATCAAGCATTACGCGTCACGCGCCCAGATACTATTGGCGGGTGGCACTGGGGCGTTTGGCATGCAGCTAACTCCTCAGCTTCTGCGAGACCCATGTCTAGACCGTCGATATTGCCCAATAGTCAGAAGAACATACAGCTATTTAGCCTCACATGTGGCGAAACGGCAATTCGGAAGTCATTCTCTTATCGCAAATGCGCATTCCCATTATTCTTTCCGTCTCGAATATGACCCTTCTTCCAGTTCAACATTCCAAGAAACTGTTTCCGCGCTATCGTCTAGCATAAAAGCTGGTAGGAGTAATAAGAACAATACAATCTAAGATACGCAATTCCAAACAGTTGTAGTTACAAGCCCCAATGCACAGCCACTTTAGTCGGTATGCCTCGCTGCCTACTGTCCAAGTGGAAAAAGAGAATTACCATTAAAAGGCTACTGGGGCTGCATGCTGACCATCCCATATATATTACCTCTTCTGACTTCCAATTTGGCATTACACACATCGCCTTTTTCTTTACTTGTCTGCCATTGCAATACTTCCAAACCATGGCATCTACCAAGCCTGTCCTTTCTTCTGCCGGCAGTGTCAAGCCCTGGATACAGAAGTTCACCAATACTCCGCGCGACGCATTCTTCGATCAGTTTGTCGGGTCGCAGGATGCAAGATTTGTCGAAATAATTGAAGGATCTGTACGAGCACCCGATTACATTAAATTTCTCAATACTGACGTCTTTATCACAGCACAAAGACGAAATCAAATACAGCGAGGTTTCCCTCGACTCAGGCAATCACAAATCTGCGCCAGATCTTCGCAGGGTATTTGAGGTACGACTGAGAGCCTTCCTGACGTCGTTTCTGTGCTCACATTGCCTAAGCTCCCACAGCAAGATGGGTCGAAAGGCATTCTTAGATTAATGTAAGTGCGCTATTTTCTAGAGGTTCAATTAAAACTCTCGATGCCGACTTATTCGCTTTTGTCTAATGCTTCTAGAATCTTACCGTTCAACACTGAAAACGATAATGCACCGCCTCTGTCGTGGGAAGGATTCAGGGAGCACCTCGACTTGCTGCACCTAGAAAACAATTTCATCTACACCGAGCAGATGCAGACGCCACCCACCTGGTTTGAAGTTCCGTTGCAAGCAGGCCTAAAAGGTATGCCAACTCTATCCTGTCTCTCTTGAAACGCCGTAGACTGATGACATGATCCCCAGGCTTCGTTGTCAAACCAGAAAGATGGGACTCCAACCTCGCTAACTTCAGTATCTCTGTTGTCTACTCTCCAACCTCAAGAGTTATGCACGTCGTAGCTCACATGTTGCACAAGAGAGACATCAAGCATCTGCTGCTGCGACTACAGACTCTCAAAACCCTTGCATGGCATCCTCTGCTTGTGCCACTCATCCTGGTGGAGCAAAGAATAGAAGGCACTGCAGAGAAACTCACCCTCATGAGGGACTCTCTGTACTCGGTTGAGAAGCGAACTGGGACTCACAAGAACTACCGTAATGACAAATATCATGAAGAACTCAATCACTATGCCTATGGTGACAAGGTTTGGGAGCGCCGCCACGAGCAGGATGTTGACTTTGAAGCTGCTCCGGGAAAGATAACTTCCATTGCTTCAGAGTGTGCCATGACCGAGGCCAAATGCCAGGTCAATGAGAGTTTACTCGATTGGCTACAGGGGCTAAATGACAGTCTTGATGAACTCAACACTGACGGCAGTCCTTGGGAGAGGGCAAAGTCCTCAATCAGAATGAAGATCTCAGCCTCAAAAACATGCTCTGCTAACAATCGAACACGAAGCATCTATCTCGCCAAGCGAGCAGAGGCGCAAATGCAGGCGGTAAGTAGCCAGCGATCTTAAAACATCTGTACACATTCAGCTAATCAGACATAGTGTCTGAATCTAATGGCACAGCGCGATAGTGCTTTGAACCTCAAAAAGACCGAAGCAGCACTTCGAGACAGCTCCGACATGAGAGCTATAGCATGGGTCACTCTCGCATTTCTGCCAGCGACGTTTGTAGCGGTAAGACTTGGACATGCCTTAAAATGTTGACTCTTCTGACTTATCTGATAAGACCTTCTTTAGTACCTCCTTCTTCAGTTTTGAGCAATCAGGCCGGCATGTGTCGGATTGGATTTGGCTGTATTGTGTTATAACTGGCATCTTCACTGTTGGGGTTCATCTGGGTTGGGCGCTGTGGATAAGGAAGGAGAGAAGGGTTTGAGGGCTGAAGTAGAGTTGTTAACTACAGGTACTCGGACAAGTTATGCTGGAAATCGGGCTCTTTGTCCCTTGGCAATGAGCTAACGGGCTGATCCGTTCATCGCGCTGCGCTACCTTTGACGATCTTACCAGTTCTCGTTGACCTTCGCCAAGTTCAGCTCTACCCACAGCTCTGTGCTGGCTAGTCTGGCTCAGTAGCTCTGTAAATTTCTTGTCTTGTGGCCAATCAGACAGCTCGAATGCAGCTAGTGTCGTAGATCTCTGGGTGTTTTCAGCTTGCGACGTTGGCGGCTGGTGCAAGGCTTCCTGGTTGGCTTCGCTACGGCTCATGTCTTAGTCTAATGCATGTGAAATCCCCAAAAGATGGATATTTTGAGACACACGATTCAAAGAATGGTTGAGCTTTGACCTCAGAGGTTTGTAATTACTCTTGTCCTTCGTCATATTGGCTGAACTTTAGAGCTGAAGTTTTGTCACTGGGGCAGTGAGCCGGGTTGTCGGGCTTGATATCTCGGACTGTTTGTGTAGATCCAGACGGCAGATCTGGGTTGGGTTCCAGTAGTCATTTTTGAGAGTTTCCCTTTGCGTCATAATTGCAGATAAGCGCACTTGTAATCCTTTTTGTAGGTATAAAAGCCTTGTACACCACAAGTGCGCTCTTCTAACATCTATCGCCGAATTTCTTCAGGTGTTAATAGACCCACTCCACGATCATGGGTGAAGCAATCCCTCCAGAAGATGGAACCTACGGCATCAAAGGTCTTCCACGGCCACCCAATGCGGTCAGATACCCTGGAGAAATTCCCTATGTGAAAGGCCTTCCAGTCCGTAAGGAGATATCGTCTCTTGCCGACTCAGACGACCCAAACGAGAGAAAACAGTGGACGCTATTTGTGCTAGCCTTGGAACGCTTCAAGGCTATGCCTGTCGATGACAAGCTATCCTACTTCCAGATTGCCGGAATCGTAAGTGTGAAGGTCCCGACAGGTGGGTGCCCTACTGATCTTTGGTTAGCACGGATATCCAGAGGTTGCCTGGGACGGAGCGCCAGAACCAAAACATGCACCGGACAAGAAGACTAAACAGGCTGGTGATCAGCCTTTCGGTGGATATTGCAACCACAACAGCCTGAACTTTCCTGCATGGCATAGACCGTATATGCTGCTCTTTGAGGTGAAATCTGATCTTGGACATGATTGATTCGGTTCTGACATAAGTAGCAACGAATTTGGGAGAATATGAAGTCAATGATCAGCAACTGGGTGGATGATTGCGGATTGCCGACCTCGGAAGCAGATGAGTGGTACAAAGCAGCAAGGCATTGGCGGATGCCATATTGGGATTGGGCTAGGCGACAGAGGTACCACGAAGACTTGGTTTGCCCCCCAGTTCTTACGCAAGGAGCCGTCCGAATCTACCCACCTACTACGATAAAGAACCAATTCCCGCAGAGCGGCCTCTACCCCAACCCACTGATGGGTTTCGAGAATCCAGAAAAAGATCCAAATACAGGGGACCCGTTGCCCTTCGGTAGCATGCCCGGAGGAAAGTCAAAATGGAATATCAAAGACAACCCAATAGTGCATGACGAACTCCCGCTAAAGAAGGATTGCGATTGGGCTCCAGTGAGTCAATCAACCGGATCGGCTTGAGAGTTGCTGACAGGCACTTAGTGGAGCAAAACATCTAGGACCAGCCGATACGGGATATTCAGAACGGAAGACATCTCTAAGGAGAGGAAGGACCCCGCTGATTGTTTCACTGGTCTCCATGGTGTAAGGAACTGTTGGCAGGCAAACGTGAATCTCGCGAAGGCTCATGAGAATGGTCCGGATGGCAAGCCCAGATGGAGCACAATGGAGCAACACTCGAAAGAATATACATGGAATCCCGGAAGCCTTTCAGATGCAGTCAATCGTATGTTCTCTAAGGGGTATAACTCGAATTGGGGACAGTTTGCTTCGACGAAGTGGATTGCGGAAGGCAAAGGATGTCCAAGGACGGGATACATATCTTTGGAGTATATCCACAACAATATTCACGTAAGACGACAGCCGAATGTTGTGGATTTGGCTGATATGAATGCAAGAACTTGACGGGAGGAAGTGACTATACAACTGGCATGGGACACATGAGCGACGTGCCAGTAGCAGCGTTTGATCCCATCTTTTGGCTTCACCACGTGTCCGTATCCTTCATATCCTAGCGGCGCAACTTAACTGACACAAAGCAGGCAGATAGATCGCTTGCTAGCCATATGGCAATGCCTCAACCCAAAGCTATGGTTTGACACCGAACAATCAGACAGTTCCAGCACAGCTTCTGGCGTCACCGACGACAAGGAAACGGACCCTCTTGAACCGTTTCACAGGAAAGACAACGATCCCGAAAAAGAAGTCTGGACGGCACAAGCGTGTCGAGACTGGACAGAGTTGAACTACCAATATGACGACCTTGCGGAAGTGGCTGAAAGAACGATACGGAAGCATGGCCGATTCATACCTGGGGAGTTCCAACAAGAGCTTCGATCGCATATCGACACGATGTACCCAGGCACAGAACAAGTCATTGAATCTATGGATGGGCCATGTACTATTCCCAACGCAATACGATCAAGTCAGGGTCAGAAGGGATTTTGGAAGGATTATATCATCAACGTGGTGTATGACCGATACGCCCTAGACGGTCTGTCTTACACAATCCAATTCTTCTTAGGTGTGCCATTGGGCGAAGACACGAGTTTCGAAAAGCACAACTACATTGGTCATGTGTACTCCTTTGGTGGTAGGCTGAGCACATCCGAGGGCTCTTGCAAGAACTGCAAGAGACAGGCCGAAGCGCAGGTCCCCTCCTGTGCTCAGGTCCCATTGACAATTCATCTGCTTCACCACGTTAGAGACAACATTCCCGACCACTACATCAAGAACTCCGATGACCTTGAAGAGTATTTGAGACTTCATCTTCGGTGGAGAGTCGTCAAGTATGGCGGTGAAGTCATCTCGGAAGAACGATTCAAGAAGAACTTCTCAAAGCTCCAAATATCCGTCTTGCGCGGTACAGGTCGAATCATGCCGGGCAATGGACAAAGCGCGGGTTCGGCCTCTTCTTTGTACAGCGACTATGTACCATTACCTGAAATTACTGATGGAAAACCCGGTGGCTTGCAGCGAGACAAAGCCTCCGAGAACAACGAGCCATTCGTTTTTCAGAACAAGAGCATTGTGCAACCGCTGCCACCGAAGCTCTCCAAACCGAAGTATGATATCTGTGCGTTGAGACTTTTGAATGTTCACTGACGGATTTGGTAGACTCATGGCAGCAAAGCTCCAAAGACGTGGAACAAAAACTTGTGGACAAGAGGCCGAGGCATTGAAATTTTCGCCCTTTCGATCCAAAGTTCGGTAGTTGTTGTAAACAAGGATTTAAGGTTACGCAGGATCCTGGTATGCCGACGGTTCCGAGATCACTGACTACGATTAGCCGGGAGGTTTCGTCGGGAGCTGAACGCCAGGAGTAGAAAGAATGTCTTTGTCTTCTTCAACATGTTCTGACACAAGAATATTATAATAAACTTGATGCGCTACTCTGTTCACGCGAACTCGAATGCCTGCTATTGGTGACTACAGTACCATCGGATGTCGCCTCAGCTTACGGAGTACGGCCCCTCGGGATCCCGAATAACCTTTTTTCGTTTGTGCCGCAGATCCTTCTCATCTGCGAATACGATGGGTCTTGATCTACGCCCGCTAGAACAAGTGCTTACTGCCGACGAGTGAGAAGCGCCATGTCTTACAAGGCAATTGGGCGAAATTAATGATCATCCGTGCCGTCCGCTGGGCGTAAGATTTCCGTGTCTCAGACGGGCATCGGGGAAATTAACGTTTCGTGGTAATAAAGAGAATGAGCTGGCCACTTCTCCCCCTCTGTCAGTTTTCTCTGCTTATTCCTCCGTATCGTTAGATTCAATATGGGCAACCAAGAAAAGGCCGCCGACTCGTCGTCGCAGAATGAGAAGGACACTTCACCAAAAACAACTCGCCCTCCACCGATTCTATGCCTTGGCGCTCCCCGCAATGGCTCAGCGTCACTGATGCAAGCGCTCCAAATCCTCGGATATCCTAACGTGCATCATGGCTGGGACGCAGCTGAGCGTGAAGACCTTCAATGGCAATGGCCCATCTTCGACAGAGCGTGCGACGCAACATTCACCGTCCTCCCAACATACCGCGGCAAACCTTTCTCCCGTGAAGAATGGAACGAAGTTTTTGGAGAATACGATGCTGTTTCGGATGTCGCTTCGTACTTCGCTGAGTCGCTGATCCCAGCTTATCCAGATGCGAAAGTTATTCTCGTCGAGCGCGATGTGGAGAAATGGTATCCGAGTATGGTTGCCGTGGTCAAGAACTCAACGAGTCCCTTTCTGCGAAAACTTGGAGTCAAGCTTGGTGATCTTTCAGGGTTTATGAGTCCAAGACCGTGCAACAAGATTCACCAGGGCTGGACGAGAGCGCCTTCTGCGAACGACGTTATCGAATACCTCAAGCCAGCGTATGCTCGGCATAACAAGTACATCAGAGATACCGTACCAAAGGAGCAGCTTTTGGATTTCAAGCTTGCGGATGGTTGGAAGCCGTTGTGCCAGTTTCTGGGAAAGGAAGTTCCTGATGTGCCGTTTCCGCATGTCAATGATTCGAAGGAGTATGCGGAGAGGTCTAAGAGGCTGGCGAAGAAGATGTTCAAGCTTGCTGCGAGGAACTTGATCTTTCCTTGTTTGCGGCCTGAGCCTGTCGCCAAGCCTTAGAGTTGCTGGGCGCTTGGGGGAGGGGAGGGGATGTACAGACCAAGAAAATCATTGTCTTGGCCGCATGGGACTGGTTTGAATTTGTATATCATCTGATTTAGAACGCTGCTTAGATTTCTCAGTTTAGACAAGCGTGCTGTTTCTAATACCTAGCTTGGATAGCGCGTTTTCCATTCAATATCCGTATCTGGCAATATCGATAGTCCACTTGTCGTAATATGTACCCCGCCAACATCCAAGGTCTTGAAAAGATGTCTGCTTATTGGTTTCCTGAGAGCGGCATATTCTTCTTGCATCACAAGTCTCGGATCATTGAGTCGTTTAACCATAGTTTTGCCTTGGTTTACCAGATGGACCAGTGAGTGTCGAGGTCATCGACTCGGAAGACGGCCCGTTACCCCGACAAGTCAAACAGGTTCCTCCTCTACACCAACCTCGAGAGACTACATATAGTAATCTGGTTTGCGCTTCTTGAAATTTCTGAGGCGGCCATTTTTATTTCAATATAACAAATTCTATCAGTGTCATCTCGTTTTAGCGACCAAAATGGCTACGACTCGGAACTGCAACTGGCATCAAGTCAACCCCGGTGTTTGGCAACGCCATATCGACGAAATCGAACAATTCTACTCAACCATGGTTATCCTCTACGAAGGAAGCGGTCGTATGTTCTTTGGGATGACGGGACATGTCTCGCTCTCCATCAAGACCACCACAGATTTGTCGCAAGATGATGCTGAACGTGCGGTTGACGAAGCTTTGAGAAAGGCATGGCTTGCACTTCGACACGCTCACCCTACACTTGCATCACAAGTTACTCAGGACTTTGAGTCAGGCGAGTGGATCAAGACTTATAGAGAGCTGCGGAGCGGAACAGATAAGGACGCTTGGTTGGAGAGGACTCTTGTCCATATCTCCAGTGGTCAGACTGGGAATCAGTGGGCCAACTCAGATCCTCCTGCGCCAAAGCTCCCAACTATGTTTGTTTTACATCTTCCTGCTGAGCGCGATGATGATGGATCTGTGAGCGTCCGCCGAGACCTTGTCTTCCGTTCTCCTCACGACATCATCGACGGCATCGGAACTCTCATGATGCTCAACAACTTCATATTCCTCGCATCAGAAGCTTATGAAAAGGGCAATACCTATGAGCCTCCAGCGCTCGACGGCAGTGAGAGTTCAAACTTGAGTCCATCCTATCGAATCGCAGCTCAAATTCCCGAAACTCCTGATCCGGCTCAACTGGATAGACTCAAACAGATGGCAGCTCAAAAAGCCGCTGCCGCTTCGGATCCTAGCGTGGAAGTTCTTGCGCTTCCTTATCGACAGGGCGATCTACTTCCAGGTCGTCACCAGCGCTTGGCACTGACTCTCAACAGAGAGGAAACGCAAAAGCTACTCAAGGCGTGCAAGATGGTTGGAGCTACGCCGACGCATGTCTTCCATGCTGCAGCTGCTATGGTCGTTCGAGACCTACAAGATAAACCAGCCACGACCAAGAAAGTTCGGTACATAAACTACATCCTACGCAACGAGCGCTCCAGCTGTCAAGAACCATATAGCACAGCTCAACATCCAGCATCAGTCTACCATTCTGTCTCTGGCCAAAGCCTCGTCGTCGACATGGATCTCCACCCATCTTCCACAAAACCAAACCGCAAAACGGAATTCCTCTCCATTCTTGAAACCGTCAAAGCCTTCTATCTCACCGTCAAGCAAGACAAAGAATTCTACCTCCTCGCTCCAACGATGTTCTCCCAGGCTACACCAGCTCTACCCTCCGGTCCTCGTCCCCTTCCAGTCCCGGAGCCAAATGCTCATCCATCTGTATCTATCTCGAGCATGGGACGTACTGATACTATCGTGGCGCTGAACACGGGGGCGTTTGAGGCGAGAGATCCGTGGGTTACGGGTGAAGAGCTCGGAAATGGGCTGGGTTTGTTTCTTGGTACGTTTCGAGGGGAGTTGTGTTTGAGTGCAGCGTATAATGATGCTTGGCATACGGAGTGGGATGTGAAAGAGTATCTGGAGCGTTGTAAAGATGTTGTGTTTTCGGGTCTTGGGATTAGTGAGCCATGAGGTTAGTTCGGAGACGACGTTGGTGGAAAGCAAATGTGAGTTTTGGGGAGGTTATCAGAAGGTCCGGCAATCTCCATCTTCCGTATAAGTTTCTTCCAAACAGGCTTCTAATCTTGTGGTATCTTTGTTTGTCCATTATTCCTTGGTGTTCAGACTTCCTGTTCAACAGAACAATTGTTGGCGTGCAGGCACTTGATTTTCAGCTCAATCACAATACCTATCTTGCAGCACCACTCGCACCGTATCTTATCTCGTCACCATGGTGACAGCATCGTGTAATATCGTCATTCGAGATTGGCTGCTGACATCTTGACACTATTCATGTTATCTGGTAGTTTATCCAAGTCACAGAACAGGTCGAAGTGAAGTTGCTCCAGAGATCGTGTAAACCACTTTCGATCGATGTTTCTGACAAGATTCCACAAGAGACTATCCGATGACTGATCCAGTGAAGCTGACAGGTTACGCTTTGGGGCAGGTCTCTCAAAAAGGACCTTGATAATCGCCCGTGCCGCAATCCATTATCGACCACCAACATTTCCGCCCCTCACATATCATCCTTCTCCTGGAACTTCTGCAGCTACTCCTCCCATCACGCGCTCACTCCCAAACATCTCATTCCAGAATCAGCATAGCAGATATCGGTTTATCAAGGCTCAAAACACCATTCTCATAAACCCGCCACAATCCGCCTGAATGATCACCCTCTGGTATCCCAAACCAGCGGACCCTTCGCCTCCCATGCATATGTAATCTATCCCGAATGTGGGGGCGATATTCACGGGGAAGCGAGAGTGTGTGTCCCGAAGTGGAAGCTCCCTAGGCCCTGGGAACCTTTGACAGGCTGGGGTAAAGACAGGGAGAGCCCCCGGCGAAAACCCGGATCGGGGCAGATTTCCTGACTGTTGGGTTCGGAGCTGAATGATATGCTTGTTTGATAGTGGCCAACTGATATGGGGGAGGGGGTTTTATCTAGGTGGTTTGGAAGGGTTGAGGGTTACTGGTGGTTGGGAGGTTGCATTGGCATGTGAAGTAGCTTTCGGTCAGAGAGAAACTGGAAAATAGAGATTTTAACCTTGAATTGACGATTGATGCTACTCACTAGGGTATCTAGGTGTTGGTTTGATGGTGGTGAGTGTCAAGTGGCAATCATGCAGGCATTGTGCAGTCTGCATTTCTGATGTTCAATGTCACCATTTGATACAAACGATACATTCAATTACACTGCGACAGGCTACGAAAGCAATTGCTGGGATCCATCAATACCATCATGAGTATAATAATCACGACTGAGACTTCAAGATGTCTTCAAAATCGCGAAATATATCCAAATACAATCGAGGTGATAAATATTACTAAGACCTCACCAATCAATCGGTATCAACCTGTAATCTTGTCGCGATCTGACATGGAGCACAAAAAAATGCAGGGATTCCGATCCGCATCCACCTAGAACACGAAAATAGATACTCGCGTGGCGAGCGATTGATAACATCGCGACCGAGTTGGTGTTGAGGTTCATCCATGAACGTCAAAAATTCTGGGCATCGGATAGTGCATGTCGCCGCATTCTTGGCTACGGGTATAACGGTCTTGGCCACAGATACCAAGACGATCTTCATATCTTCCAGAATCTTTCAGGCACACTGATCGACAATGGCGACACCGATTTGATGCGACGGTATCAAACGTTGCAATTGATTCAGTGGCAATAGGGTAGGCATTTCTTGACAAGATAGCATCACGATCGTGGATCTTTATCGTCTGTTGGTACCCCGTTGTTGGTTACGCAGTGGGTCGAGTGATGTGTAGAATTGGGTATAGTCAAGCTAGTATCTAGACAAAAGTCCATTCTGTATATTGGCTTGGGAACACCAGGTGATTACTGCAGTGCGAGTCGAGTATGGGGCCGAGATAGCACGGGACAAGGGTTGATCATCCCAGAAATGCAAATGCAATGCAAGCAGCGGTCCCTTTGGTCTTGGCACTCAACAGCGGAATTAGAGACACTCAGACACTGTAGTTAGTGAGTGAATGCGGGGGAGGCACTGTAATTGAGGCCGTTTGACTGCAGTGTCAAGTAAATACGTAAACCGTTAATGACTCTCGAGTACGGGCCCTCGGTCCAACAGTAGATAGATCTCCATTTACATATTAGGCTTATCTACATACGATACGATATTCCATTCCGCAGTTTTGATGCCCTGTTGCATCTCCAAACAAAAAGGCCCTTCTCCAACCTAACAAAGGTCCCCCCTCCCCGCAAAATGCGCCAAGAACAACAAAGGTTCCCCGAGCCATTGGCCAGCACACGGAGCACACCCACCGATTGGGTTTAGCGCGATGCTGATAGGTGCAATACCGATTTATTATTCATTCGCATTGCGAGAGATATTGATACGGGGAGCAGAAACAGCTGCGCTATCGGAGGAAAATATCAGGAGATTTGAGAAGTATGAGCAATTGAAGCGGGTTTGTGGATTGTGGTCTAGAATTATATGGCGCCGAGAGAGTGAGGAGGGAGGTAAAGTAAAGTGTCTGGTGATTTAGGGGGTGATTCAGTGATGGTCAGTGAGAGATGCCCCTAATGAGGATGAGGCAATGATATTGCGAGTGGCAGACGACTTGACCATTCACAGTCTAATGCAGAGTAACCCCCCGATAACCATAAACCAACCATAAAACCTTTAACCTAATCCCCCCTGTAGTACACACACTCATCAACATGTGGCGCGTATCGCCCGTTTCTCCCTCGGTGCCACCCGCTCTCTATCTGGGGGTGGAGCCTTGACCCTCTCCTCTCCTCATGCACAAAAGTTCAAAGCACCACTGATAAAATATTGCTCCCATTTTGGCAGCTCCCAAAGTACAACCGCCCCCCTCTCATTCGTCGGATACCGCAGATAAGGGATCCACTTCGAATCTGTGCTACTTTATTTGGCAATCGTCAAAAGATCGTTTGTCTCGCTTCCTCTTCTGGGCGACCTTGCAAAAAGTCCCCCGATGTGCGGAATTGATTTGATGTGACTTGCAAAGATGGGATGGGATGGGATGGGGAGCGGCGACTTGCTCAATCGGGGCGTTGTTTCAAAAGTGCCATCACTGTTGTACGACCGTAGCAGGAGAGATAAATAAGATCGCTGCTGCTCCCCAGGTTTCATTCAGTCGTACCAGCAGTGCAGTTCAAGTTTCTTCCCCTTCAAACTGATCGCCCATCATGGTCGCCGAAACAGTCGTCCCCGAGCGTTTGCCCGAGGATTCCCTCCAGCCTCGCTACGATGAGACCGCGCAGCCTCGATATGACGAGAAGGAGCCCCATTTCGACACGGACCTCAAGTCTGAGGCCGACAGCGAAGATGAGCGTATCACAGATCTGTTCTCTAGCTTTCCTCCCGCAAAGGGTGTTGAGCATGAGCCTAACCCTCTGACTGCCCGTGCTGTCATTGTCGGTATCATTCTTGGTTCGCTCGTCAACGCCTCCAACGTCTATCTCGGTATGCTTCACCCTCACCCCCAATCTCACCAACCTTCATAATACTAACGGTCTACAGGCCTCAAGACTGGTTTCACCTTCCCCGCTACAATGTTCGGCGCCATCTTCGGCTACGGCTTCATCCTCATGCTCACAAAGTCCCTCCCTCACGTCCCCATCCTCGGCGGCAAATTCGGCCCCCAGGAGAACTCCATCATCCAGGCCGCTGCCACCGGCGCCGGCGGCATGTCCGGTGTCTTCGTCGCCGGTCTCCCCGCCATGTACCGTCTCGACCTGCTCTCCGACGACCCCAAGAAGGACTTTGGCCGCATCCTCACCATCACTTTCGTCTGCGCCTTCTTCGGCCTTTTCGCTGCTGTGCCCCTCCGACGATTCTTCATCATCAACGTCGCGAGGGAGCTCAACCTTGTGTTCCCTACGCCTACTGCTACTGCTATGACTATCCGCTCCATGCACGCTGTTGGATCTGGTGCGGCTGATGCGCTGCGCAAGATCAAGGCGCTGGGTATTGCTTTCATTATTGCTCTGCTCATCATCTGTGTTGGTCAGTATGCCGATGGTATTCTTCACAACTGGCACATCTTCACCTGGTTCTACGTCTGGTCTGGATACACCGCCAGCGGTCTCCTTGAGCCTGAGAACTGGGGTTGGTACATCCAGCTCACCCCCGCCTTCTTCGGTTCCGGTATCCTCGTCGGTCTCAACGCTGCTGTCTCTTGGTGGGGTGGTACCGTCGCCGCCTGGGGTCTCATCGGTCCTCTCCTCGTCCACTATGGTGAGTGCATTGGTATCGCCGTCGGTGAGGGTAAGTGGGAAGGCATCACTCGATTCAGCGTCATGACTGGTGTCGATGACCCCGACTATGTCCCCTCTCCCCGATACTGGATGCTCTGGCCCGGTGTCATGGTCCTCATGGTCTACTCCCTCATCGAGTTCTTCCTCCACGGAAAGGTTGTCTGGGATGGTATCAAGTTCGCCGTCCACGAGTCCGCTCGCTCCATCAACAACAGACTCCAGGCTCGCGGCCACAGCAACGCTTGGTTCGCTAAGCAGGCTGCCAAGGCTGATGCCGATGGTGGTGTTGAGGACTTTGCTTCTGCTCAGGACCAGGTCCCTACTTGGGTCTGGGTCGCCGGTACCCTCGCTGCTCTTGTTCTCGCCATGATCGTCAGCGAGGTCCAGTTCCACATGAACGCTGGTCTTGCTCTCCTCGCCTGTATCCTCGGTGTCATCTTCGCTTTCATGTCTATCTATGGTGGCGCCGTCACCGACTGTGCTCCTCTCACTGCTTCCGCCAAGGCTTCCCAGCTTGTCTACGGTGGTATCACCAAGAACCACTTCGCCATCAAGGACGCCCAGCGAATCAACCTTGTCGCCGGTAACATTGCTTCCGGTACCGCTGATGTCGCCAACTCTCTTGTCAGCGACTTCCGAGTTGGTTTCCTCCTCAAGACTCCCCCCAAGCTGCAGTTCTACGCTCAGGCCATGGGTACTGTCGTCTCCGTCT